AACATTCCAATTCAGCATCTCCAGTCCAGCCCCGACTCGGCCGCCGTGTGGAGTCCCCACCAGACATCGCTCGGTGCTCGGCAGCCACGCGCCTCTAAGCCTCCAGCCGGATGTGGTCGCCCCCGTGCACCGCCGCGTCTGTGTAGAGCCGCCAACAGGATTGGGGATCAGCGCGCCGGTCGGAGGGACCGGGAGCCGCCTGCCGGTCGGTCGGTAGGAGACCGGTCCGACCCGCGGCTCCCGCGGTCGGCCGCGGGAGCCGGGAGTGATCGGGACTCGGGAGTCGGGAGTCACGGCCGGTCGGGAACTCGGGAGACGGGAGCCGGGAGTGATCGGGACTCGGGAGCCACGGCAAGTCAAGGAGACGAGAGCCGGGAGTGATCGGGACTCGGGAGTCGGGGCCAGTCGGGAACTCGGGAGACGGGAGACGGGAGGCCGGAGTGATCGGGACTCGGGAGTCACGGCCGGTCGGGAACTCCAGAGAGACGGGAGTCGGTGGGGAACTCGGGGAGATGAGAGCTGGGGTCGGTCGGGAACTCGAAGGGACGAAATTCAGGATCGATCGGAAACTCAGACGGGAGTCAGGGTCGGACTGAAACTCGAGGAGATGGGGCTGTGCTGTCCGCGGTTGAGTGTCAGCATGAAGTCACACGGTTTGGAAGTCAGGTCAGTCAGGTCTGGTAGCGACGTCACTAAGCTCGTCAATAATTATTTTAGCATCGGCATCGAATGCATCTAAACGTAACTATCAGAAAAGTGATAAGCTAAGTCGCAGTTGCTAACATGCGGCTTTCTGTCTATCTCGGTTTTTCATTTCAGGGAGACGACAGCGTTGTTGAGCGTTGCTGATCCGATTAGAACGACCCAGGGGAATCACTCAAGAAAGTCCTTATTTTTTCAAGACTTCTAGAAACTGGTTTTAATTCCTCTAGGCGTAAGTAACGCTTGAAATCATCACTTCGCAGATAAGCCCTCTCCCTTCTACGCTTACCAAGAAATGCGTTCTAAAGTCACGATTCACGGGCACCGACTCACACACGCGCATGACTCAACAGCTCTCATGAGAGTCTCAGCCAGGGTTGCGCCTCAACTTGCGGAGAGGCTGAGAGTCTCAGCCTCTCCGCAAGTTACCATTCTGCAAAACCCCATCCTTCGTCCGGTGGTCAATCTCCCTGCCATGTGCGTCCATAGTCGACCGTTCGACCGCGCCCGCCCAGCCCTGCTGACCGGTGACCGAGCCATTTCGGGTCGACTGACCCTCCGTCCGAATCGGAAATCGCTGACGCGGCCGCCGATAAAGTTCGACTGAGCGAGTTATGACTGCGATAAGAATGCGGTGGCCTAACTCAAAGGACTGACCTCCCGGATAATAACTCGTGGGCCGGCCCCGAATGAGTGATTGCCGTTTCATTGGAGCCGTTTTGGAAAACGCTGACGGCGCATGGTGCGGCCTTTTGACGGTGGCGTGCGGTGGGGGATGGGGGAGGCGATGGGGGGGGGGACGGCGACGGTGACGGCGACGGTGACGACAGTGGTGCCCTTAGTGGTGACGATGGTGTGGTGGTCGGTGACGGTGGTGTTGCGCCCACAAGGTCTGACTCCACATCCATGCACGCCCGGTCCAGTGTCGTCCAGGAGAAAAGACGCCTCCCCACTAGTCTCACCGTCCCCAGTACACGGTACTGGTTGTTCCCGAGTTCCTGGAGCCCGATACTCCCCGCTGCGGCGACTGGGGAGAGCACCACACCACACCGCACCGTGACACGTCCCCCTCTTACCACGGAGATTGTAGCACGATGATAGGGACGGGGTCGGTAGCCTTTCGACACTTCTAATATGTGAAAACTGCAGATTTTTTCGCGAGGTACCAGCAATTATTTGCATGAATTACTATTATGTGAGCCAGAATTGGAATGAATGAAGATGGAATGGAACCTAGCCGACCATCAGCCGCGCGTAGTTAGACACACCGATCAATATCAAATATCAAATATGAACTAGACCGAGCAGCGTGGTAGCGACAGGTTTTTATCCTGTCACAAGTTATCAGCGCAAACTACCAGCGCTGTCGGCGAAGTTTGCCCTCAACCTCGTGCACCGCTGAAGCCCGGGCAAATGTCAGTAGATAAAGTGATAAAACTGTCATTCATCCCGCTCCAGTACACGCCAGGCTGCTGAAGACGCAGCAGAGCCAAGGCAAGGTGCGCGTCCCAACGTCAATTGTTTTTAGACGCCTGAAGTGAACGGTCGTAGCGTCGTAAGTACGATAGACGTTTCGCAATTCGACAAGGTAGTGATAAGTGGGTGGCAAACGGCGAGACACGGTGGAACCACGACCTGCCGCTGATAACACACGCGTGTTTCGCACCCACGGGGCCACCACCTCCCCCCCCCTCCCCTACCGGCACAGACGCTGCCAGCCATCATCAGTCCCCGTCGTTCGACGATCAACAGATAGAGAGCTGGGACCGACGGGCGGTGTCGGATGACTCAGACAGGTGCAGTGGCGCTGCAAATCGCCGCTCGCCGCCCTATCTCGGCCAAAGTCCGCTCAATGTCGCCGCCCGATAGGAGGTGGCCCACGCGCCACGGCCCGGTACCGTGGCCGCCGCCCCGGCCTTGGGGCTATCGGGCCAATTTCTACCGCAGAGCGAAAGGTAGGCGGACAGCAGGGGTGGGTCACCGCGCTCAGTAATCGGTGTGGAGTTCCAAACGGGAGATTTAGCTCGGGAGTTTCTGCAGCTGCAGCTAATTGATCATGAGCCAAGTTCGTGCCGGTGAGCGCGATAGCGACTCTGCAGCATTCCTTGAACTCTAACCCGCCGGTGCTGGCCGTTTTCCTCCGTGACAATTATGGGACCGAGGCGGCGCGCTATCGGTCGGCGGACATAGCCGGGCGTCACGCGGCGTGAGGCCGCGGAGAGGGACCAGGGGGACGCAAACATTTCTACTGACCGTCTCTGGGCAAAGCACCGGCCAGCGACTGCAGTGTCCCCTTCCCCTGTCCACCCCTCCCCTCCCCGGGAAACTGGCCATGGAAACGCCCCTCCCCCTCCCACCCACCCACAGCTGCTGGAACCTACTTGAAGAGGGCTCGGACTCGCGGCGCGGTCCTGGAGCGTCCTTTAGCCCGGTCCGCCGTCGTGTCACCCACAGCTGGCTCGTCACGTCACGCACAGAGCACTAGTCACGCGGTGTCACACTGGCTCGGCTCGGCGGTCTGACGTGTCACTCCCACCACTCGCGGTCACAGACACACACTGAGGGCCTGTACCGGCGGACACCGGCGCGACGCGAGACTCGGCGGCGACGGCGGGCCTGGCTACCGCCGCCTGGTGGACGGATGGGGAACATTGAGTTCTGAGTCCCGCCGCTAGGATAGCAGCTGAGGGGAGAGTCAGGGAGGAGTTCCCAGGGGACTGAGGAGGTTAGGTTGTTTATAGAGATTGATTCAGAAAGCGTAAATGTGAATAGAACATTCACCCCTTCCCCAAATGTGAACAAAACAGGTTAAAAAAGCTTTAGACGTGAAGGTTTTAGTGGCACCCGGACGGCATTGGGTTACCGTGCTCTTTTTTTCCGTCGGCGCCCACCCGAACTCTCCGTTTCGCCAGTTAGCAGAGCATAGAAGTCTTGCTATCCCAGACTGAAATATAAATAACGCTTTGCAGATTTGGTACTCACGGAAGCCGACGTTTTGTAGCGTTTCGACCTCAGCAGAGACGCGCCGTGTAGCTCCGTTCCGATCGCCCGCCTGTGCGATGCATTGGCTGCTGACGGCTCCGGATCATTGGTGGCCACTGGAGTAGCCGTAAATCACGCCCAGAGGAAAAGGACTTTGTCACTGCAGTTCCAAGGACCGCGCAATTGGTGTTCCTTGGACTAGGTCGTGCTGCAGGAGAAAGGAAAGTGTTGGAAACACATCAGGAAACATGACAAATAAAAACGAAGGTAAACATTCAATCTAAAAGTTGGGCGAGCTAAACCATGCATAGAGCGGGAGAGGGTCGGGAGGGACAAGGTCGATAAAACGGAACATCAAGGTCGATGGCCACCAACAGGTTCAAATGTAAGAAAAGCAGGTCCTAATCCAGGGGGCCTGGGATCTAGGGATCATTCAGACAGGCTCAATTGTGTAGTTGTCGTATGTTGGCTTACTTCAGTGATAAAACAAACCTATACGTAATACTTTCCATGTCTCACTGAATCATCGCCAGCCCGGCTCTATATTCGCGTGCTCAAGCACTCCGCTGAACAGTAAAATCTCGTATGTCTCTCATCGCTCGTCATTTCCTCTCGCTGCCCTGCAGCTGTTGCTACCTGCTAGCACCACTAAACTCATACACCCGCCCAAGTTGTCTACTTGAGAATGACCCGTTATAAACAGGAAGAAAATCAACCGTTCTGCATCACGTGTTTCAGGAAACACGCCAGCTCAGCTGTGTAACCATAACATGCGAAACAGCCGACATGCGAACATGCGACCCTCATCATTTGGTCTCGCAATGCAAATGCTGGTGAGCGAACGTTGACATGAATTTTACGGAACCAAGATGGGTTGCTTTTACAGATGAGTTCAAAAGTTAGGGAGATTCGTTTAACAATAAAATAGCATCATTGAAGTTCAAGCATGATATTATTGCCTAATCGATCATGAAACTGTCTCACGCATTACGCGATCCCAGCTAGTATAGTACAGATAATCGGTAGCTATTTATCGGAAGATTAGCTCTTTCCAGTCGGCATTCAGGAATCATCGAATACCTCTTCGAAAAAGCCGCTGCACCACTACGCATCCAGCACCTAATCGTAGCTGAAAATCAAACTATTCCCGTAATATGTCCTTTCGACAAGCTTCTTTTCTCATTTTCATTTCTTCATTGTTGCCACGAATACTTGATACTACAAAGTATGTCATCAGCCTAGTAACTAAATCAGCTTTGAACCCAATGTAACTGCATCATAGTTGTCAGTGTTACCACGCGAGAAAGGAAACTGTCCATTCTTCTAACACATCACATGTCATATATTTCAGCACAGAAAGCCCTGCTCTATCAAAGTATCCACATAGCACCACTGTTCCTTACCCCGCTGCTGCCGGCCGCTCGGTTAGTTCCGGCGCCGGCCGCCGGGCGGCGCTAGGTGTCACAGTGGTGCAGCCAGCGGGGGAAGGGGACCACGTCCCTGACGTGCTCCAGGCCGGTCAGCAGCAGCAGCAGCCGTTCCAGGCCCAGGCCGTAGCCGGCCGTGGGCGGGCCGCCGTAGCGCCTCAGCTGGACGTACCAGTCCAGCCGCTCCGACAGGCCCAGACGGGCGAGTCGGGAGGACAGGCGGTCGGCACAGTCCTCACGCAGACTGCCGCCGGCCAGCTCCCCGATCCGCGGCACCAGCAGGTCCACCGCGGCCACCTGAGGCAGGGAGGCGGGGCAACAGCGACGTCAGCGTCAGCGCCAATGTTAGCTTCGGCGTCGTGATCTTCAATGTCAATGTCACCTTCAGCTCCGTGAGCATCGTCAGCTTCAATGTCAACGATAGTGTCAGCATCAACGTGATGTTGTCAACGGTAATTTCACCGGCAACACTAACGTCACCTTAACCTAAAATTCAGCTTCGTCATTGTCAACCTTCAACGCCAACACTAAACTTGACAACGTACCAAGGTCTAACTTATATCGAAAGTGAGGTAAAACAACAGCCCAAACGAGCTCGCTGACAATGGCTGAATTCGGAAGGCTAGCTGTTTGTTTAGCGCCACGGAAGGTGACCTAACGGCACTTAGCAAAGACCCACAAACCAGTTACTGGAGGTGATCCAAGTCACTGAACGATGCACTAATTGGCACTGGGATAAAACCCCGACTCCCGGACGTTCGGAATACGAGTCAACAATCGGATATGCCAACCACCCGGAGCGGTGCAACTGGTGAGATCACCAGCTCCGCTCAGAGCTCGCCAGTTCTGTCTTCTACCCTGTCAGCGCGCGGCACTTCCCAAATACTCCGCCCGGACCGGTCGGCTGCGAGGGTTGGACGGATGAAGGTGGGGGGTGGGGACGGGCGGGGTGGGGTGGGGAGGTAGATCCGGGTGCAGGCGATCACCAGTCAGCGGCTAATCCGCGCTCTGCGAGCCACTGCAGACGGCCGGACGCCTCGGTCTCGGCCGCTCAGTAACAGCGCCCCGTCAACACCGGCCTCGGCAGGAGGATGATCTCAGGTAGACGAGCGACGGTCAGCGAGCGCTCAAAGCACAGTGGAGGTTAGATGGAGGATAGTTGTGTAACAACTTCCCGCAGCATGCTGCGTTTACTTTACCACCAGCATTATAGTTTTGCTTCGGTTTTTTTTCGGGATAGCACAACTTTTTGTGGGTCAACCACCAAAAGTACGGATGTTTCCGTGACATTTAAGCTCTACCATAACATGCACAGGAAATCGAACCGCTGCTGAACATGTTCAACATACTCCAATGCCCAATGACATTCACCGTCCACTCGTTTCACTATGTTACGGTTTCCCAAGAAAATGCTTGCGTGATGGGACGATGTACACGCCACCGTGTCATGACATGAGGACTGGATGCAGTTGCACAATGCATTTTACAAGGCAGCGAACGTATAATCCTAGGGATATTTAGTGGACAAAGTGGCCAGCGTCATGCAACGCATAAGGAGCTTGGCTGCCATTTTCCCGAGGCCATCAAAGTAAAAAGACTTGTTCACACTTCTGAAGTTCTGCTTACGTTCCCTGACAAGGCAATGAAATATGATGCTTGAACCTATTACACCTCGCTACACCACACATATCCAGAACAGGGTGTCTAGTTCAGTCACAATTTGGCAACCAACACAAGAAATACAGTTGCCTTGCGAACACTGAGTACTTCTGGACACGTGATCCCTCCCGTAACCAGCATATTCCAAAAATAGAGCCCACGGGGATCACTTTTCGGACAATATTCCTGCTACGCACATAAAAAGTAATGACGAGAATCATCCTCGGAGAAAATATCGTCAAACAACACACCATTCTTTCCCTTCTCCCGTCCCCCACCCGCTCTCTCCCTCTCCCCCTCTGTCTCACCGTGTTCTCTCCGCTGGGCCTCATGTAGAACGGTTTCAGCTCCGCCGGCCAGTCGGTCACGAACACTGGTGTGTTCCCCGTGTGCTCCAGCAGTGCCAGCTCGTGCTCCCGGCTCAGGTCACCGTCGGGTCGCGGCGCGGAGCTCAGGTCACCGCGCCTGCGCAGAAGTTCCACGGCCTCTGCGTGGGTGATCCGCGCGAAGGGAGTCGACTGGAGCCGCTTCAGGAACGTCTGACGGACGGCGGACGGTGGTCAACGGGGAAAATGGCAGAAGGAGGAGGAAGTAAAAAGTGAAAAGCGATAATGTGAACACATATATTGCACAAACCGGTTTCGATATTACTTCATCAGTGTGCAAATATATAAATAAAACACACAAAATAGAAAACGTGTGTTTTATTTATATATTTGCACACTGATGAAGTAATATAGAAACCGGTTTGTGCAATACCTATATGTGTTCACATTATCGCTTTTCACAAACGTCAAACTGTCATACCAAGAAGTAAAAAGGTTTGCGTGCATTGTGAATGATAATGTGCTGTAAATATACGAACGACGTGAAAATATTCATCAATGAAAAGAAACAGCTTTTGTCACTAAGTTATGTGGCGCAATAATATTGAGTACGGATGAGCAGAAAAACGCTTACATCGGCAGGTGTAAGAAATTGAAATCTGGTTTGATACGCAGCGGCGACAAGCATGGCCTCAAACGCAATGATAATTATTGATCAACGATAGCATTGCTAAAACTTAACCCTCGCATGTGTGTGTGTGTGTGGGGGGGGGGGTCGGATGGACCCCTCCCCATGGTTTTTCGCGAATAACTTGCGCAAAAAGCGGCCGATCGCGACGAAACTTTCAGTACCCTCGAGTTAATCAATTTTACACCTACTCTGAAAATTTCATGACCCTGATCCAAATGACCTTTGACCTGTGACCTATTTCTCGAGACCATGTTTGGCCGGAATCGCGATTCGGCGTATGTCGGCTCGCATTAGCCGCGCGTTTGCAAGCTTTTCGTGGTTTCAAAGGCTCAAAAATGTGATTCGATGCTGCTCCCATGTATTAGGGTGGATTTCAAGGTCACCTGAAGGTCAGGTCATTGACCTTTGGTGACCTCGGTTCACCTTTTCGAGTTTTACATGTTTCTAAGCTAGTTTTTGGAGCTGAATTCGAATTTAGAAACCATTTGAACGTTTACAAAGCAGTTTTGGTGCCTTCGTAACATATTACGAAGCTGTCAGAGCCGGTTGACACCTACTACGTATACCCGTCACGACCCCTACTGGTTGACCTGACCTGACCTGACCCAAACTGGTCTAAATGCTTAAAGACATCATCTGTGATCAAAACTAACACGATATTCGTGATCAGCACCCCTAAAAAACCCATAGCAGCCACACTTTACGACTTTCTAACAGGTTCCGATTTTCCTGACTTTTGGGTCGTTGACCTGACCTGGAAGGTCAACCAATGACCTAGGACCTTAACCCGCGCCCTGGTGTGGGTCTGAGCCACCTTCGCCCTGGTGGGGGGGGGCCAAAATGACCCCCCCCCCCCCGTCTAACTCGAAAACGAAGAGGGCTAGGAAGACGCGGAAAAAAGCAAACGAAAGCCCATAACAAGTACGTTCGAAAGTATTTCGGTCATTTTTTCGCTAAGGTCAATATTGAGGTCGCTAGAGGTCATCATAGGTCAAATTTCAGTGTTTTCGGTGTTGCCGGACATATTCCGCTGTAGCTCGGAAACTAGAAGAGCTAGAGAGCCGCGGAAAAAAGCAATCGATAGCTCTTTTCAAGCTCTTTCGCCAAGGTTCGTCAGATTTGACCTCAGCTCAACGGTTTGGCCTACAGAGGTCATGCAAGGTCAACTTGGCAAATTTCGTTGAAAATGTTTTTAACTATAGCATGCATTCACGAGAAAATAGAGAAACGATTCATGCACCATCGTGCTTGGCTCGTCGAGACGCGTCGAATGATATATAGTTTGACCTCGAAAGGTCATTTTGAAAATTTGACCTCAGGTCAAGGTCATGACCTTACCGAAATAGGTCATGCTGCATATCATTCGATCCGCATTGACGAGACAAACACGATAAACGTCGAACGGAGTCTCTATCTCTATTCAATAACAAGTAAGTGCAGAAAAACCGCTGGTGACCTCTGGTGACCAGGGAGATGACCTAGCGTGACCTCAGCGAGGTCACAAGCAAATGGTTTCACATGGGCTGTGATTTGCTGACCCAAGACACTTCAATAACGAAATATAGGAACAATCACGCCCGATTTAGCTGAAAAACAACTACTTTTCGATTCTCCCATTGACTTATAATGGGGAGCAGCGATGACCTGACCTGACCTTAGGTCACATTTATAAAAAATCCGAGATAGCCATTTTGTAGAGCTGGGCGACATCTTCAAGTACTGTAAATTTTACATCGATCGGATAAAAGCTGTGCCTTTGAGAGAGCTTTGAACTTTTTTAGAGGTGGTGTCAGTTTTGGTGACCTTGTGACCTGACCTGACCTGACCCGAACCCCCCAAAAAAGGACATGATGTAAAAATGTTGAATAAACAGCTATACAAAGTTTCAGGGCGCTAACTCAAGTGGTTTCTGAGTTATCGCTGAAAAACCACAGGGGGGGGGGCCAAAATGGCCCCCCCCCCCCACCAGGGCGAAGGTTAAAATTGGGTATCATCGACTTCGTCCCGTGACGGGAAACACGCTCGATTTTTTCCGCAAAGCTCTAGCTCGATCAGGGGCCAAACGGCAAGGGTGGGGGTCCAGCCGACCCCCCCCCCCACCCACCCACCCACCCACCCACCCACCCTACACGTTAGAAGCTGGCAAACGCCGCACACATGCGAGGGTTAACTAGGAAAATGACTATTCTCATAATTGATAAACAAGAACGACAGCCAGGTAAATAATACAAATAATACACAGTGGTTTTTGTGCATTTCAAGTCACTGCCTTAGGTTCACATGAGGTCGAAAACGGATTGTGTAGCAAAGCAAAGTTTACCCATGTTTTCCTACCAAAACAAAATCGAAAACCACTGACAAACAACAACCAGGAAGACAATAGCTATCTATTTTACGTCACGTCTGAATTCACGGACGAAAAATATCCATTGTCCTAAGGGTATAATACACTGTTCCAGTTAATGATATTGACTTCCTAATCCTTACAAATGCCAGTAAACCCCAACTGTTTCACGATGATAGTATATTCATCGTATTATGTAGGGCTTCAATAAGGCCGAAAATAAAATTTAGAAACATGATTATTCCTTTCCGAACGAAGCAGCGGATTAAACGAGTGCACAATGGCTTCACAAAATGCAGTTTGCAACATAGCCTGGTGATTAGTTAACCTTCGCCCTGGTGGGGGGGGGGGGCCATTTTGGCCCCCCCCCCCCTGTGGTTTTTCAGCGATAACTCAGAAACCACTTGAGTTAGCGCCCTGAAACTTTGTATAGCTGTTTATTCAACATTTTTACATCATGTCCTGTTTTGGGGGGTTCGGGTCAGGTCAGGTCAGGTCACAAGGTCACCAAAACTGACACCACCTCTAAAAAAGTTCAAAGCTCTCTCAAAGGCACAGCTTTTATCCGATCGATGTAAAATTTACAGTACTTGAAGATGTCACCCAGCTCTACGAAATGGCTATCTCGGATTTTTTATAAATGTGACCTAAGGTCAGGTCAGGTCATCGCTGCTCCCCATTATAAGTCAATGGGAGAATCGAAAAGTAGTTGTTTTTCAGCTAAATCGGGCGTGATTGATCCTATATTTCGTTATTGAAGTGTCTTGGGTCAGCAAATCACAGCCCATGTGAAACCATTTGCTTGTGACCTCGCTGAGGTCACGCTAGGTCATCTCCCTGGTCACCAGAGGTCACCAGCGGTTTTTCTGCACTTACTTGTTATTGAATAGAGATAGAGACTCCGTTCGACGTTTATCGTGTTTGTCTCGTCAATGCGGATCGAATGATATGCAGCATGACCTATTTCGGTAAGGTCATGACCTTGACCTGAGGTCAAATTTTCAAAATGACCTTTCGAGGTCAAACTATATATCATTCGACGCGTCTCGACGAGCCAAGCACGATGGTGCATGAATCGTTTCTCTATTTCCTCGTGAATGCATGCTATAGTTAAAAACATTTTCAACAAAATTTGCCAAGTTGACCTTGCATGACCTCTGTAGGCCAAACCGTTAAGCTGAGGTCAAATCTGACGAACCTTGGCGAAAGATCTTGAAAAGAGCTATCGATTGCTTTTTTCCGCGGCTCTCTAGCTCTTCTAGTTTCCGAGCTACAGCGGAATATGTCCGGCAACACCGAAAACACTGAAATTTGACCTATGATGACCTCTAGCGACCTCAATATTGACCTTAGCGAAAAAATGACCGAAATACTTTCGAACGTACTTGTTATGGTCTTTCGTTTGTTTTTTTCCGCGTCTTCCTAGCCCTCTTCGTTTTCGAGTTAGACGGGGGGGGTCATTTTGGCCCCCCCCCCCACCAGGGCGAAGGTGGCTCAGACCCACACCAGGGCGCGGGTTAATAAAGACAAAAAATTGTTTGCGGTAACCGCATTCAGCCATTTTTACACCGACATGATAAATAATAGTGCAGCAGTGCACTCGTCAGGGGCTGGATAGATCAAAGCAAGGAAAACTCAAGCCTCAGATACGTCAGCAAGCACAGAAAGTCAAATGATTGCTGCCAGTCAAAAACTCAAAAGAAGCAATTTTGAACAAAAATGTGGATAATGAATATGTCTAAATTAATCATATAAAACGGTTCCGCAGCCTTATCCTCGTGTTTTGACAAGAGTAGATCTGCTACCTTTCCTCGCTATGGCAATTTTTATCATTAAAATACACCTATCAGTCGACAGTCACCTCCTCACACAAATATTTTGAAAGCGTGACGAAATACAACCGTCTCGCCACAAATGATGGAAACTCCGCTTAACGTTCACTAACAAGCAACAAATCATATCATAAGAAAAGCCTTCAATAATTCGCTTCAGGCGAGAACGTAATTCAAACTCCCTAACCTGCCAGACATGTATGCTTGTATGCAATATCCATTGCGCATCAGAAAATGATCTGCCCCCTAAAGAAGGAAAGCATTCAGCATTGGAACATATTTCCGCCTTCAATGATTCCACGCACCCACACACTCTTCCCGCCACCAAAGCTCACCAGGTGTTCCCGCCAATCGCCTGGCCGCAGCAGCTCCAGCTCTGGGCCGCAGCTCGCCAGGAAGCTCTCGGTCACCTCCCGGGTGAGCTGCTCCAGGGGCCCCGTGAGCTCGAACAGCTCGGCGGCCGGCGCCAGCTCTGCCTCCAGCATGCGGAACTCGGCCAGGTGGCGGCGCGTGCGGGACCGCTCCGCGCGGAACGCCGGGCTCAGAGTGTATACGTGTGTCACGCCGCTGATGGGGTGGAAGGGGGAGGGGGTCAGACGGCGGGATAATGTCCTAATGAATGACAGCTCATGTGAGCCGTTCATCTACACCCGACATGTTAAATGAGAAATTAAACATAGCTAAAGCCAAGACGTTGATATAGCAGGAAATATAGAAAGCGCATCTGAGCAGGAAGGTCGCAAACGGATCTGAAAGTGGATAACAAGCTTGCCACAAAATCGCTTGAGCGAAGAAGTGATGTAGTAAGCATTCTCGCCTTAAAAAATCAACATTATGCCCAAATCAAGTCAGCTCTTACACCGAACATGAATTTTGTGCCCCTAACGAGACTGTTACTGACGCTCTGCGGTAACTGTTAAAAGCTCAGTTTAAGCGCGTCCTCACCAGGTGACGGCCTCGAGGTGCAGCTGTCCGGACACGGTCAGGTACACGTCCCGCCCGAAGAACGGCCGCTCCCTGTCGTCACTGTCACTGCTGCCATCGCTGTCGGCACTGTCACCGGCCTCACTGCGCCCGGGAGATGTCTGACAGAGCAGAAGGTGACGGTCAGGTCGAGCAGGAGACATTTCCGTTCGAACTCGAAACAGTCACCGTACAATCAGTCAGGTAAACACAATGCGATGTGGCCTAACACCGTGGCCACAACATAAGCTATCCATATGTCACTAACCTATCTATCAGCGCAATGCAAACATTACATACACCATCACTGTCTGCTTAGTGCCTCCCCTTCAGTGACAACCCTCCCATCTTACCGTGACTGTGAACACATGACCGGCTCCCTCGCAGTCATTGGCAGTCAGCACGGGCGTGTCCACCTGCAGGTAACCCTGGCGCTCCATGTGCTCGTGCACCGCGCGGGTGACGGCCGCACGGGCGCGCAGCACGGCGCCGCAGCGCGCCAGCCGCGAGCGCAGGTGTGGGTGCTGCCGGGCCTGGTGCCAATCGGGGCTGGAGCGGGCCGGGAACGGGTACCCCTCCTGTGGACGGCAGAGGGGGCGGTTAGCGTCAGGCGGCGAGTGATGGTCCTGAATTCAGATTTAGATTCGAGTCGACAGAGAGGAGCATAGTGATAGGACAGCTGACAAGGTAGACCAAGTACCTCTAGATCTCTCTTCATTATCAATTATAGGCTTCTGACCAAATAGAATGTACACTTTTTGTTAGACACCCTGTATTTACATCTTGCTTGTTAGCCTCTCGCTTATGTTCACAGCTTTACAGAACAAAAACGTTGCATTTCATAGAATAATAATACAAACACATGGTACGATCTGGTTATCCATCCTGGTTATCCAGGGCAATGGCGTATATCCGCAAATCCTTACCGGCGGGCACGTTTTGACTAGATGGACGTGGTGACATTTCAATTCCGCCGGCTGGGGACGGCTGGGAGTGTGCACAATTTGGCCCGAGACCTGAACAAAACTGTTCACAGATAGACCTGTGAAAGGGCGAAAGGCAGGTGCTGATAGGTGTGATGTGCATTTATACTGCAGCGTAGCTAAGAGCTATGTGTACAGTGTACACTGCATGTTACTGTTGCACATGATATACCAATACAAATACCATTTATTCGGACAAATCCACACAGAAATGGCTTTACAGTTTTTAACCCTCGCCCGTAAACGGCGATCTGCCACCGTCGCCCATGCAGGGGGGGGGGGGTTGGTGCGACCCCCCCCCCCTTGGCGTTTGAAAACGGAGCGTCGTAGAGCTTAGCGGAAAAGACCAACGGATTGCTCTCGCCGAGATCTCGCAATTGGTGGTATATTTTTTGGCCCTAGGTCAACATTTGACCTACTTTTGACCGGTCAAAGGTCAAATTTTCGGAAAAATAGACTTTTTTCAACTTTCCGCGGCGATTGCGGCAAAACGGTGGGAGATATCGACTTGAAACCTTCACTATCGTGTTCCTTGATCAATTCTCTATCGTTTGGTATGTATTTCGTTTCCCTAGCTCTAAAAATGGCGCGTTGGGAGCGCCGGAAGTCGGCAAGGTCACAGTCGGCGGCAGAAATTCGAAAAATCAAAATTTAAATTTTTGAAATCTGATTGTATTTTTGGATTTGGGAGGTCCATTTGCTCCCTATAGAAGCTAATATTGCTGCATATTCCCATTGAGGTGACAAGAATTAGCAAAATAGTGGTTCGGGCGCTTTTCAAAAATAGTACCGGACGCTGTTCCTCTTGTGACGTCATAGCTCCGTGACCTGACCTGACCCGGTCAAGTTTCTTATACCATATGATAGCCAATACTTGCCCCAACATGCATGGGAAGTTTCATCACGATCCATCAACCGATGTTTGTACCACCGGCAGGAAACCTCGGGCGTTGGCACTCAGTTTGTGAAAATCCGGCCGGAGGCTGTTCCCTTTGTGACGTCATAACTCCGTGACCTGACATGACCCGGTCAAATGTTTTTTATCAAAAGATGCGCAAGGTTTGCCCCATAAGGTACCCAAAATTTGGCGGCGCTGCGCGCCGCCGTTTCTGCACTATTTCCGAAAAACCTCAGGGGGGGGGGGGGTTGCACCAACCCCCCCCCCCCCTACATGGGCGAGGGTTAACAGAACTGCAGTTTCACAAACAGCTAGTTATCCTTGTAAAGCGTGCCTTACCTTTTGGGTCTAGGCTGGATGGAATGACAAGCTGCAGAGTCTCTGCACTGAGACCATCATTGAGCGAGGCAAACACCCTGCTCTTCTGTGCTCTGACTGAGCGTAGCCAGCCCTGCAGAAGCCATACAAAACGTCAGCATCCAACACATCAATAACAGGTCGCATGCCTACACTGTATCAAATATCTGCATAAAAGTGGACTAGGTAAATCGAAGCAAATTTTGGAGCCATTTTAGTAATATCACTGTTGCTTTTATAGAGGAGCAGATCTATAACTACAGCAAAGAATCAGAGCAACGAATAGCATCTAGTTAGTTTGTTACCTGAACAGTGACTTTGGTCTCATCAGGAGAATGCAGTGCTCTTGACACTGATCGCTGCACATAAGTACAGCAAACTCTTGTCAAGCCCACCATTTAGGCAAATGTATCTGAAACAGAGATCACATCAATTGATCAATACTTTTGCAGTGACTTAGCTGCAGACCTCGAGTTTGTTTGCCATTTGTATGTTTATTTGGGTTTAGGGGTGCGTTGAGACACCGAGTTTATCATGCACCCATAACTTCCTGCCAGTTCTAGACACCTCCTGAACTTAAGACGAGGTAAGAACTGCCTCAAAGTTAAAAAGTAACGTATATGTCATACAGATACCCACAGCCCACTTAGCCCAGCAAAAGGATGGGCCACTCACTGAACTCATAGGTAGGGACAGCTTGCCGACAAACAGTTAACACACGGATGCAGTGAGCCATCAACAGTGGGGTGCCTGTTACGCTGGGACGAGTACCGTGCGTTGAAACAAACGAATGATATGTCCTGGGACTGGTGGACTGGGCTAGGACGAGCTGAGTAAAGCACCACAGCTACCCTGGGACTGGCAGGCTGGGGCGGGGCCAGTGATGTGTCCTGGGAGTGGTGAACTGGGATGTGTGCTGTGCCCCAGAATGGCCGGCTGGGCCGGGACACATGTGATTTCCCGGAACTCTCAGAATAATATAAGTGCCTACTCATACTGTTTCCCTCACGCTGAATTGCATCGAGTGACATGTCCTAGGATAGGTGAGTGTAGCTGGGACAAACAAACTCTGTGTCTAGAGAGTAGCAGGCTGACTGGGACAAGTGCTGTGTCCAGGAGGCGGGAACGGCGATTGGCAAGCGATTGGCAGCCCAATTCAGTGTGGGATGATACAGAATTCCGGCCTGGCTGGCACTGGCACAAGTTAATGGAGATTGTTGGAGCAGGCTAGTGGTTCGAGACTGGCGAGCGCCAGCGAGGGCTGGGCAGCGGAGCATCACCTGCTCCGGCACATCAGCCTCTTCTCAGCACACGATGCAGAGCGCCGCGGCGCACCACTTGTCCGGGAACTGCTGACACGCCGCGGAGGGGAGACGGCCGATTCGGTGCACTTACTGGAGCCAGCGGCCCCAGTGGCCCGCCCTGGTGCACCGAAACGGCGTCCTCTCGGTCCTCACCGGGGATGGGGAGCGGCAGCGTGCTCCCGAAGAGTGGCTTGAATAGTGACTCGGACCAGTTGTCGCGCTATTGACGCGAGGCCGCATAATGAACCCCCCGGGTCAGCGAGCGGGCGTAGGCGTGCCCCGCAGCCCGCTGCATCGTGTGCAGAGAGGGCGCCGACACCCCGGAGCATGTATTGCTCAGGTGCCCGTGCCTGGCCGGCGCCCGCCTGCGACTGACGGGCAACATCCATATCCGACCGGAGCAGCTAAAGGACGGCGAACTGGTGGCGGCCTTGGCCGCCGGCTACCTCCGCCACAAGGAGCCCCTCATGGGGCTACAGGCCGACCCCAGCCGGCCCTGAGGGGAACACCAACAACAACAACAACAACAACAGCGGGCGTCGGAGCGCAGGGCGACCGCGTGTTTCGCCAGGTCGTCCGCGCTCTCATTCCCCTCGATCTCGCAGCAGGCAGGAACCCACTGCATGATTACTTTGCAACGCTAGGTAATGTTCAACAAGGTCTTCCATACCTATCTCCGCACCGAGGGTGATGTCCTCACCTGGGCGGCCGTGGCCCGCTCCTGCGCTCAGTAGACTCAAGGTGGCTTGCGAGTCTGAACGCGTGACGACAGGGGTGAGGGACGGCTAGTCTCGAACCCTCTCCAAAGCTGCCCGCAGAACGTATCTGCTGCTAGATTTCCCAGCATGTCAAAAAATTTGGTGACCGCCATTTGTTGAAACATTATGCGGCTGCTGTGCGCAGAAAAATTCAGCGGCCACCATGCTCGGAATTCTACGCAAGAAAGTTATGCCAGACATACGCTGAAATTTTTGCCGCAATATCGCCACTACGCTGGCCATATTCTGCATAACATGCAGTATTTTTCCACTCTGGGTGTCCAGCATAATGAATGGATGTTTTCTAGTCTGGGCCTAGCATGATAGTTGGGCCACAAAAACTACTGATTTGTGCTAGTCTCAGTTTAAGCTACAAAACTACTATTTCAGTTCAAAACTACATCAGTGGGGGAAACTGTGGTCAAATCTTCTATTTTTGGAAGCCTTCCATTTTTGGAAGGACCTTCCATAAATGGGTATGCATTTTCCAAAAATGGAAGGCTTCCAAAATTGGAAGGTCTAATCTCAGTGTTCCCAACTGTGATTCACATTCTTTGATTTAAGTTACGGCCTTTTTAAATGTGTAACATTAATAGTTGATTTTGTCATTTATGATCATTGATATAAGGAGAAGCAGCAGTGCTAGTGTTGGTAATACAGGCATGCTATGTCAATGTACATAGTGATATAATAGCATGGTGTCCTGGCGCACTGCTCTCTTTTTCTACTTCTAGAGGACACATAGAAATTCAGAAGAGAAAACAGCTGGTCAATAACCAACCAGGAGGAACACAGCTATAGCCCTGACAAAAAATGGTTTAAATTAAACTTACTATTCCTCATATAAATTGAAGATTCATGCTCCTTCGATAGAAAGTAACACGAAAAACGGCGCAGCAACGCCTATTTAATTCGTCCCATATTCCGGAAAAAACATTGAAAAATGACGAGACCTCCACCCAAATGTTTGGCAAAAGCCTTAAAAAATTGAAATCAACCACACAATATGCTAATAAATGCAGAAAACGGCAACAAATACAAGTTTTACTCACCACTACACTCCCGAAACCGCCGCACTCTGTCCAGACAATTCCGCACTGTAAATAAAGTCGGCGGTAACGAACAAGCATGGCCCGTCACTAAAGTACTTTTAAGGATATTTACTTTTCGTTTTTGATGCTTTTTGCTTACAAAATGTTTGATAAAGTCTTATAAAACCATCGTTTGTCGGTAAATTTTTGTCAATTTTCCACGACTCATTACTTTGAAAAATTACCTAAAATACATCCACGCTAGGATTTAGGCATCCACGCTAGATTATGGACACTTCACTATGGCGAATAGAAAGCGACCAGGGGCGATAGTCGCATTTGCCTCATGTTCGGCGGAAATCGGTAAGTTCCAACATATGCGCAACATTTTCTATATTTGGGTACGATGACGTCGTCAGCGTACCCATTTTTGGAAGGTGCGTACCCATATATAGAAAATCCTTCCAAAAATGGAAGGCTTTCTAAAAATGGAAGATTTGACCACAGTTTCCCCGACTGACATGGTAACAGTGGCATATTTTTAAGAGATTCTGCCAAATATAAATGAATTACCTACCTAAATTTAATGCTGCCATTTCTAAAATAGTTAATAGGAATACAAAATATCACAATTTCTTTATAGGATTAGGTGATAATACTGATACAGGCAATAGCAACACATATAAAAACCAATTACCTATCCCCCACTAACTCAACCTCTTTCAAAGCATTATGATTTTTGTTGACAGAATAAACGTCACTATCACGCCGTACATGTAACAAAAGTGGTAGCAAATTTGGTAGCTCATTGCTGCAAGTTTTTATTACTTGCCAAAGACTTCATCTTGAAAGACTTCAACGGAATATTTACATCTGATTTCAAATTAAACTTATTTAAAACTTATAATTGAGCAAGATACCGTTTTTACAATATTTAAAACTGAAATAAATGCTTATTCAGAAAACAAGAAAACTAGGCGGAAACGGCGCACTTCGAAGGTATCCTACACCCACTGAACTCTATAATGTGGACACGCCTAAGAGCTGGACTTTTTGATGACGTCTTCGGGTGACGTCATGTCGTGTGTGACGTTTCGTGAGCAGGTAAGGAAAAGTCACCACCGCTGGCGAACATTGGTGCGGTAAATGGCAAACACAAATGCTGCGCAGAAAAGACAAATGTGTAACTTCAGACAACGTCCGAGGAGAATCATAAAAAAAAAATTATATGTTTTCTCTGTATTATTAACATATTCATCATATATACCATATAAGGGCCACATGTTGTTTACAGGGAGACATGTCAGACAGCCCAGTAGGATGAGGCTTCGTCAAGCGTCATTTTTAGCAAAGCTTTTCTTGCTTAAAAGTTAAAATGACAACACTCACTGGGAAAATGGTGATATGATATTATTTTAATGGCCATTGAAAATTCTGTATGTCAGATTTGATATTCCGAACAGCTGTTTGGCAAGATATTTTCAGTACCTAAGTAATCCACTTTGCTAGAGTACTTTTGTGCGCTTTTACGTGAATGCATCCATTTCCCCCTGATATAAACTTTTATAGTGATATCAAGCACCTTTTTTCTTTGTGTTCAAACTTTGAATTTCAGCGCCAAATGCTGGCTCTGTTCAACTTTGGACCCCCATTTACAACAGCCAGAATCAAGATTCTTTGTCTTCTTTTAAGAACTGCCGGAATAACTTTCCTATCTTACTTCCCGTAACCTGAAACTTGTGTTTTCTCCACCAGGGTGCAAAATTGGTATAATGGTGGTCAAATTTGATTACCATGACATCATCACCGTAGTCATAGCTAGCAAAGCTGTAGTCGAAAACAGTATTGCTAAAAATGACCACTCTTGACCAACCAAACCTCACCCCACTGAGTTCAAACACCATTGTCAAAAGTCCTTACGCTTGACTCCCAGCTGTTGTGTCTTTGCTATGCGATGTTAAACATATAAAACATCTTACTATTCATGTATGCGCCATGACTCATGTAGTCTTTTCACAGCCAAGACGCTCCTAAGGTGCTGGGAATGTGGGGAGTGCAGCAGCATCAGTGCAGCACCGATGGTCGGATGCGACGGCTGCGATAAATGGTACCACTTCCGTTGTGCGGGACTGACTAAGGAGCCAGGTAAGCGCAAATGTTTTCTGTCTCAGTATTTTTGTTGCAGCTATGGTGATCAAAGAAATATTTTCCGCACTGTTCAGCCAAACATGTATTTCAAACAATCAGAATCTGCTTCCCAACCAAGGGCGTCACCACAGGGGGGGGACGGAGGGGATCTCGTCCCATCCACTTTTTAAAATTTTAATATTACGCCTATGGCGTTGCATGGAAAGAATCGACTTGAAATGGTCCTCGTCCCCTCCAAAATGGTCAATGTCCCCTCCAGTCGTCGCACCGTGGCGTCGCCCCTGTTCCCAACTACACAAATTTAGTCAAACAATGTTCCAATATGGAATTTTCAGGTTCAGTTGAATGAAATAGGAACAATGATAATTGTAGATTACGTATACCTGCAAGAGAGGAAAACAGAATACATTGTATTGCTTGTCCTTCACCGATACTGTTATTTTTCCATTTCTAGAAACACCGACATGGCGATGCAGGTGGCGCTGCCTGGTGAGGCCGCGGTCTCCGGAATCGCCTGCAGACGAAGTCACCTGGCGTCCATCTGCACATCACTTGCAGCAGTGAGGCCTGCTGACAGCGTCTGGCAGTGTCGGCAACGTGCCAGACAGCTATCTGGAGTCCTGCTCACCGCAGGTCGCCGACAGGAGGGGCGACGCATCGTCTCCGAGGTCGCCTCAGCAGCAGTGAGACCCCACTGGCCGTCTTCTTAGGCTTCAACTAGATTGCGAACAACCTATGCTGAGACAACGCCCATGACGTGTGATCCGGTACCGCTACCGCACTGCGTGCCTGTGCCCGCCGTGAGCCGCTAGTGCATGGGTTCGACCATGAGAATATGTGTTTATGTTGCTTTTACTATTGTTTATACGTTGAAGTGACGAGTTGTTTATTTTTCGCAAGCCTCCGCTGTCCGGTTGCCTGCAGCTCCATGCAACGCCAGCTGTACTGTTGTTTTAATGTTGTCTCTCCGCTCAGCTGTGCTGTTGCCTCTCCGCTCATAACAACCTATGCTGAGACAACGCCCATGACGTGTGATCCGGTACCGCTACCGCACTGCGCGCCTGTGCCCGCCGTGAGCCGCTAGTGCATGGGTTCGACCATGAGAATATGTGTTTATGTTGCTTTTACTATTGTTTATACGTTGAAGTGACGAATTGTTTATTTTTCGCAAGCTTCCGCTGTCCGGTTGCCTGCAGCTCCATGCAACGCCAGTTGTACTGTTGTTTTAATGTTGTCTCCGCTCAGCTGTACTGTTGCCTCTCCGCTCATATACGACACCCTCTATATGAATGGCACCACTGATTGTCACACCCACTGTCCGTATTGTCCGTAGTGGTGTCTGAGCAGTAATCGCCACGCACTTTCAGAATGTGGATCGCTCATGATTGTTCAATACAATACAATACAATACACCCATGTTCATACAGCGTGCAGAATCCAGATTCTATTGAGGAGAGTTGAACCAAGTCACCATAGGCTCGGGAAGAGAGCAACGTGGAGGCCCACTGCCCCTTCCCCGGCCCCCACTGGGGGCGCCAGCCACTAACTTTTGACTGGATGTCAAGAGCGTCGCCACGAGGGGAACGAGTCGCCGGCCAGCCAAGGTAGCCAACGGCGTGTGAAGGTAACCTGACCTCGAGGAAACTGAGATGGCACCAACGGAGGTTTTGTTAAGTAGGCGACCAAAATTCGAGCGGCAGCAGCCTGGGCACCTTCACAGATAGCAGTGCCGCGTATCAGGGCGCCTTCGACGTTGAGCTGGGCGCCGATCATCAGGACGCCGGGGGAATATGACCCAATATCCCTCGTAAATATGTGCCTCGGAAGGGAGACCCAACCATAAAACTGAAAGCTCGCCGTATTTTATCCACTATTTTTCGAGCAGGTCCATAGATTTCCGTCCTCAAAAGTGCGGGGATATTCCCCAGTGTTTGAGTTGGATGGGACTATAGTAGCGTTTACACCGACAGGAGATTCCCATTGCCGGCTGTGGGAAACTACTGTCGGTGTAAACGCCATTCATATTTCCTGCGTCACCCCTGTGGGGACGCCCTTACTCCATGGTGCCGAGCTTATCAATTTGGATATCAATGGAATCAAAATCTCTTATCGATCGATGAAGAACTAAATTACCCCGACCCGGAGAGCGTCTTTGGAATCAAAGCAGTAGCACATGACGCAAGACTTCAGGCAAATAAATCCTTCTTGTCTGAAATAAAACATTTGTGTATTGATAAGCACGTTTTATAAGCAATGGTAGCAAGATTCTCCATGTATTTAGTTAAAGTGATAATTTAGTAGCAGATACTTACCGTCGCATTTCGTTTTTTTATCTAATAATTTATATTGTCAGAACTAGCAACATGTCTCTTCACTCAACAATAATTACAAAAGTGAAAAGGAAATGATAAATTGCTTATATTTTGGTGAAACTAAAAATTAATTCAGCACACATTTTTTTTTACAGCGTTGAAGTCCAGCTCCAAAGGACAGCTGACGATCGTAGCCGAGCAGGCTGTTTGGTACTTCTTCACTATTTCTTAGAAGTACCCGTTAGTACCGATCATGTCTCACATAATAAGCTATTGGAACAAAAATATGCATGTTCTTCTAATTATTCTCCTTCCACACTTTAAATAAATACTTTTGAAATGCATTTACTAATTAATTTCACAAAAACGGCTTGAAATTTTACAACGTCAAAATACTTATTCCAATTTCCATCATGAAACCACCACTATATTACTTGCTTACAGAGCCGTGCGCACAGTGCGCGCAGTTTTATCGTGACGTCAGAGGGTGCTTCCTCAGTGGCGCCCCCTGGCGGGGAACGCGTGCAAAAAGTCCAGCTCTTAGGCATGTCCTATAATGTGGAATGCGCATCGGCCGCCAGATGGTGTCCAACGGTGCCGCCATGTTGCGCAGACCAGAAAGCGGCCGCCGCCTGTGTTGGGGAATAGGGAATTCGGGACCTCGATTTACGTTTGCGGTCGCTGCATCCGTTACGTTCAAGCTATGTGGCCACGGAACCCGGCATCTTACGCAGAATTGGGTGGAGAATAAGATGAAATCCTAAAAACTTCTCAGATACAAGGAACTAATACGTTAAGCCTTTATAAGTCAATGGGGAAATATGAAAATTGCTATTTTGGTGCCGAGAATGATCTGAAACTATCTCAAGCATATAAAGTCATGATTTAATGCACTCTTTGCAAGGTTCTATGCTTCATATTTGCATTGTTGCCCTTGCGTGACGTCATTTGTGACGTCACAAGGGTCACAGTTTTTCTTCAATAACTCCCGATCAAATTGAGCTAGCGAGTCGGGAAAGCCACCAATGGACTCGGGAAGACCTGCCGAATCGAATGATATGCGACATGACCTCTTTCGACCATCTTCGTGACCTGGCGGTGCTGACCTGACCTTGACCTGAGGTCAACACCCTAAGTTGACCTGACCCGAACAAAAAGTATATCACTCGATGCGCCTGAGCTAGCTGAACACGATGATGCCAAAAGTGCGGCTCTACGACCATTTTTGGCGAAGTTATTTACCAAAAACCGAACCCGTGCCTTAGATCACTTGACCTGACCTCAGAGGTCACCGGTTGACCCCGGGACCTTTACAGTGGGTTCCTACCAGTCACTCTGCATTATCCTTTGTCGCAAACGACCAATTTACCGCTTAATTCTAGTTAAATTAGCGGCGCATTAGCGAGGTGGGTTCAATCAACCCCCTCGGCCGGGGCAAATGTAGGTCCGGCGAGTGAATTCGAGGAATTCTGAAGATACGATCGTGTTCCCCACTCAATTCTGCGTAAGATGCCGGGTTCCGTATCTACGTAACTTGAACGTAACGGATGCGGCGGCCGCAAACGTAAATCGAGGTCCCGAATTCCCTATTCCTCAACACAGGCGGCAGCCGTTTCTTGGTCTGCGCAATATGGCCGCCACCGTTAGACACTACGGCCAATAGGGTTCAAGCGGCATTGCTCCCCTGTGCCTATCCTATAAAGCAAGGAAAGGGTGTTAATGATGACGTCTAATTAAAATTTGCAAATTTTTTTATCCAGAAACGTTCTTTTTAAGAAAAAAATAGACCATGTTTGATTTTTGTATACCAATTAAATATAATATATCCTATATTTTGCCCAACGAAATAGAAAAAACAAAAAAATATAAATATTACGTCATTAAAATTGGATATATTTACGTTTTCTTCCTAACCGATGTGCGTGAACGCCCATGTCCCCATCGCGTGGTCTCCGGCTCCGCGCTTCCTCCCTTTCGTTCTCCGAGTCCGCCCAGCAAGCACCCCTGCCGGCGCTCTGCAGCTTGAATTAAGCGGTTCAACACAAAAAGTCCAAAAATGTCGAACACCGAGCGTACCTTCATCATGATCAAGCCTGATGGCGTTCAGCGTGGACTCGTTGGAGAAATCATTAAGCGCTTCGAACAGAAAGGATTCAAGCTGGTGGCCATGAAATTCATGCAGGTTGGTGATAAGCTTTGCATGTCAATACATTGTTCTCAAAGCTCTCACTTTATAGTATTTTATTAAACCTGATATTTAAGCTCTAATGCTGCTGTCAGAGCTGGGCATTGGGTGAATGTATGTGATGTGACCTAGTGTTTGTGATGTAGTGTAGGTATCTTTCAAATGCTACTGAATGCTAGAAGTCATCATCTGGAATACTTTCCAAATATTCCACCTCAAAATATGCATACAAACCCACAAAAAATACTTATGAGACAGACTCACATGACTGTCTCGTAACAGTATTAATACCAGTATAATGCCTTTTGGGGCGACAAACAGAGCGAGCGAGAGGGTGGGCCTTGCACGTGCGAAATTACGAGGGGTACCTCCAGCTGACTTGTGCACGGCACCCTACTAACCGGTCTCTAGCGATGTGGCAAATTTGGGCACAATCGGATTCGGCCCAGCCGTTCTCGAGATCTGGAAGCGGCACCCTGCACGTGCGCACATGCAAAATGAGTCCCAACTGACTTGTGCACGGCACCCTACTAACCGGTCTCTAACTGTGTACCAAATTTGAGCGCAATTAGTCCAGCCGTTCTCGAGATCTGGAAACGACCCCTGCACGTGCGCACGTGCAGCGGCACCCCAACTCTGGCACATGGACATGTAGTGCCTAGTGGATGCCTGCTGCCTACCTACATGCCAACTTTCAGCGCAGTCGGCCAAGTAGTTACCGAGATATTGCAACAAGTACAAAACTGACACCTCTTCGTTTTGTACGTGGCACGTGCATAAGGGGTCACCCATATGCATCAGGAATAGTCCAATACTTGGTAGAAGGAATGAAGCTACCCTACAGAAATTACCGCATGTAAATCGGTCAAGCGGTTGCTGAGATATAAGCCTCGCAAAAGCGTCCGCACGGCCGGCCGGCCGCTCATGCTCAGATATTTTTGTTAATCTAAGGAAAGACTCCGCTCGCTTCGCTCGCTCCGTAACCAGATTTGCTTCTGATTAATTTCTGGTGTTCCCTTTCCCATATACCACGATTATTTTCATGTTTTGTTATTTTGACGTCACTTTCATTGCATACGTTGCGCAAGTATTTTATCGGACATGGTAGCAAATATTTTCAAAGTATTAAAGTATGGCAGCACCTGTATTATTCTCAGGTGCTGCCACCTTTTTGCGAAAAGTCCCTAGACTCGTCAGTTCTTCAAGTTAATTCGAGCCATTCTGTAAACTGACAGTAAACACCTCACTAATGATACCCAATGCCCATCCAGTACATATTAATCCCCAACTTTTCAGACATTTCTATACTGGAATCTCACTGTGCACCCTCACTCCCCAGGCGTCTGTGGACCACCTGAAGGTGCACTACGAGGACCTGTCCAGCAAGCCCTTCTTCAACGGCCTGGTGCAGTACATGGCCAGCGGCCCCGTGGTGCCCATGGTCTGGGAGGGCCTGGACGCCGTCAAGACGGGCCGCGTCATGCTGGGCGAGACCAAGCCTCAGGACTCGAAGCCGGGCACCATCCGCGGCGATTTCGCCGTCCAGGTCGGCCGGTGAGTGATGAGCAGACGGAGCAGCGCTGGATCGGTCACGGGTGGCGGGGGCTACGCATTGCGCCAGTCATCTCATTGTTTGGAGGTGATAAGTGTCGGTGGCGAATACAGTTTGTCCCCCTCCCATCTGTAATTCGAATTATAAAAACAAGGTCACTGCAATGCGATGTATAATTTATCGTGAAAATAACAAATCAAGGTACAATCAATTTCATGTTCATGTATCTTCGCCGATAAGTTTCATCCTGTAACAAATAGTGCACAAAGGTCACAAAGGCTTCACACTTCTAAATGACATAGATGAAAGGACGAAAATAATACTTAAACAGATAATAAGATAAATTACAAACTTACTTCATTGCAGCCATAAACTAAAAGTCAAAAAATAATCAAAATTAGCCGGTCGATCCAAAACCAATCATATACAGAAAATTGTTTTGTTCATCAGCTGTGGCTCGAGACTTGCAAATTCCTGGTGCCTCAATTCAAATGTTCGGCCGTGGTCGAGTGGTCCTCATACACTCCCCCCGCCGGTAGCGACGACTTCAGCGCCGGTAGGATCTTCAGCTTCGAGGATGAGAACCAAGCGGTGTACTGATCGTGTGATTATTGTGTCAGCTTGCCCTGTGTATTCGCTCTTGTCGCGCGACTGACATTTGTATCTTAGTATGACGTTTCTAACTTTCCCATCTTGACCCACCAATGCCTCCTTTACTTCCGCTAGTTTCCATTGCCCTCGAAGTGCGTTGTTGTCTTGGACCAGGACAATGTCACCAGCTTTCATATCCCGTTTCTCTACATGCCATTTCTGTCGTACGAGTAAAGTTGAGAAATAGTCCCGTTGCCATTTTTTCCAAAACGATGTCACGACTCGCTGAATGGCTTGCTGTCTGTGACAAAGTTTTGCTGTCGTAGCCAAGGGCCCTTGTGGGACCGCAATGCCCGTTCGTCCCAAAATCAGATCATTTGGGCACAGATAAGAGCCAAGCTCTGGGTCGGCCCCTGGTCTGTGACCTATCGGCCTTTCATTCAACAAGTTAGCGACTTCGAAGAGCACAGTTTGCAGTTCTCCCACCGTGAGCACGCTATCTCCTATAGCGATCAACAGGGCTCTCTTCACGAGACGGATCAATGACTCGCTGCAGCCGTTCTGCCACGGTGCATCAGCTGATTTGTTGAATGTCCATGTCAGCCCTTGCAATGCACCAGACCGACAAATTTCAGACCAGTCTAAGTTTTCTGACATATTCCGGAGCTCTTTGTTGGCTGCAACTAATTGTGACCCCATATCCGAATGAATGGATGCGGGATATCCTCGAATTGTCACGAAACGGCGAAAGGTTACCAAGAAATCTTTGGCAGCATAGCCATCAACTATATCGAGGTATACCGCCCTGGTAGCCATGCAGGTGAAAATGACCCCATAGGCTTTCGTTCTTGTTCGTTTCTTCACCGTATCCCTTATCAGAAACGGTCCAAAAAGGTCCAGAGAGGTATGATAGAATGCCGGAGATGGTTGGAGTCTTTCAAGTGTAAGTTCTCCCATGACCTGACTCTGTAGCTTCTTGTCGATCCGTCGGCAGGTAACACAATCATTCTTGATTTGTTTGATGATTTTGCGTGCTCTTGGAACCCAAAATTTCTTTTGCACTTTGGCCAATGTCACTTCAACACCAGCATGATCACAATCATGTACATGTTTGATAAACAATGTGGTGAATCTGTGGTCTGCTGGAAGAAGGACAAATGCGTCTTGGTTCCAATTGTCTTTAAGCCACTTCGTTATCCTTTGTCCAACAACTATGACGCCATCACTGTTAATGCTCGGTCCCAGACGTCGGAATCGAATTTTCCAATCGGTTTTCAACAGCGCTTTTTGAACATGTTCGATCCACATTGCTTCTGCCTGTTGCAGATGCTCAGCAGTTGGTGACTTGCTGATGGATTTCAATGTCTTGTCCGTTTTCAGCTGTATAAATCGTCCTGTAACTCCTAGCAGCTTGTTGTAACTGTTGAACTTGTCCACGTTTACAATTTCTCCTATACCCACTTTTTCCTCTTGATTTTCAATATTCATCACGTGTACTCCGATGCGGTCTGGAAGCTCTTGGTCTGGTACTGCTTGACTTATCGGCCACTGTTCCACTGGTAATTGTAAAAAATCTGGCCCTTGTTGCCAGATAGACTTGGGTCCGATTTGATTGGGACTAGTGGGCCTTGTCACCAAATCGGCGGGATTGTCCCGAGTGGCTATCCACCACCATTCTCCCGGATCAGATTTATTTTGAATTTCAGCTATCTTCGTCGCGACAAACGTACCGAACCCGTAGGATTCCTTTTGAACTTGTGCTCGGACAATTGCAGAGTCGACAAGATGAAATATTGATTTGAAGGAGTACTCCATTTCTCGCTCAATTGTCTCTCGCAATCTGCATCCCAGTACAGCTGCACAAAGCTCTAATCGGGGAATCGTTAGCTGTCTCGCTGGTGCTATCCTGTGTTTTGCTGCAATTAGCCTTGCTTCATATTTTCCAGTACTAAGTTCCCATTGCACATATGCACACGCTCCATAAGCTTGGATACTGGCGTCAGAGAAGACGATTAAAACTGGATCGTCGATGGCTTCTTTTGGCTTCAAACATCTTGCAATGGTCACATTCTCTAATTCGTATAAATCCTTGAAAAACAACTTCCAGTCGTTTCTGCTTTCCTCAGGTATTGGGTCATCCCATACAGATGATGTCGAAGTTTCTTGTTCATTGGCCTTTCTGGATATCAATGTTCTGAGTAGAATTTTGGAAGTTATCGTAACTGGCGCAATAAACCCTAGAGGGTCATAAATACGCGCTGCCTGGCCCAAAACCATTCTTCTGGTTAATACCCTTGGAAACACAGCATCGATGTTCGTTTTCGTTACGTCAGGTCCAGTCGGTACCCTTTTCTGCCGTTGCGAAAAGTTGATTTTGACTTGAAACATGAAATGATCCTGCTTAGGCAACCAACGCATGCCGAGCACCTTTTCTTCATCAACATTCAAAAGTGTAACGTCAGATTTTGCTGCGGAAACGTTGTCATCGCCAGATATAATCCAGTGCTTTACATTAAAACCGCCCTTTTGCAACATACCTTGCACCTCTTCTGCTAGGGAATGCGCGTCTTCATACCGTGGCCCTGACTGGATCAGGTCATCAACGTAGCTGTTTTTCAATATCATTTCCGTGGCCCTTTCACATATGCTTCGATTCATTTCGGCTATCAAATTTAACGCTACCATCGAGATTGTTCCGCTTGGTCGGTCTCCGAATGTCACTGCTAGCATCATGTAATGCGTGGGTTCCTGGCTTATATTCAAGTTCCGCCACAAGAAACGGTGCACGTGCTGGTCCCTCTCAGCCAATTCAATGGAATGGTACATCTTGCTGATGTCCCCCACCAGTCCAATTGATTCTTCTCTGAATCGAAGTAATACTCCGAAAAGGTTGTTAATAAAATCTGGACCTTTCGCCCAGTAATCATTCAATACATGTCCCATGAATGACGCTGACGCGTTAAAGACAATCCGCAGGGGTGTTGATACTGAATCGGGCTTTACAACTTCATGGTGACATAAATAGTGTATCGGCCCTTCAAAGTGTAGCATTTCTTCTCTGGATAATTTTCTAGCTACTCCTCTTGCTACCATATCTCGTATTTGCGCGTCGTAGGCTTTTGCATGATCATTTCCCATCTTGAGCAACCTTCTTTCCGTGGCTCTCATTCTTGCTTCGGCGATGGTTACGTTGTTAGGGAGTTCATTTGGGTCTCTAATCCAAGGATAATGCGCAGTGAATTTTCCCCGCTTGTGATCGTACACTAGCCCGTCCTTTATCAGTCGCAATTCCCGTTCTTCTTGTAGGCTGTAGCAACCGGTACCTGTAGCGCATTTGCCACACTTGCAACCACCGCATCGAGGAGTGCAACATGTCCCAAGATTTTCAACCGTGAAATATTCGTCTAATTTTCTTTTCAAACTGGTCAATGGTTCAACGTAAATATTGTTTACATCACAAATATTGGAACCACGGATGATCTGAACTTGTCTGGAAGAAGCCACTTCTCCAGTGAGACAACCGCGAATGCAATATCCAAATTGATTCTTTAATAGTTGAAGATTGCCAATCGTTTCAGTAACAATTGGCATGATCGCACAGCAATCAATGCCAATTAACATATCAACGTTGCCGTGAGGTCGTTCAATGTCTTTAGGCTGGATATTTTGGAATAAAGGTGCCACTGCAGATACGTCGAATTTATCTAATGCGGATGTAATTTCTTCAATGCCGTACGCGTGAACCTCCCATTGCTTTCCGTTGGCATCAATCAACGGAACAACATAGCGTTTGCTGTTGTAATCTTGCGTTTCGTTTCCAACTTTCGTTATCGTCAATGTCGTATCGTGACCTGTGAGATTCAATGTCGATGCCGCTTTATGGGTTATCAATGACACATTGGCGCCGGAATCCCACATGGCTATTAAATTCCTGTCATTGCACCGAAGGTAACTCACAGCAAGTAAATTTTGTTGTCTTTTGTTGCTCGATATATGAATAGAATTTTGTGGAGGCATATCCCTTGTAGGAAGTTGGTCAAGATGAAGATATGGATGATGTCTTTTTCCACATGTTTGTCGTAAATGATTCAACCTATCGCATTGGTTTACTGTTGTACATGAAGCCGCAATGTGACCTTGCTTTTAACAATTAAAGCAGGCTCCGTTCTGACGCAGCAGGCGTAGCTTCTCTTCGTGATTTGAATTTAAAAACACGTTGCATTCGTTGATTGGATGAGAGTCAGTTTTATGGATCCAGCAAGCCCGGCGTTCAATATGTTTCATTTGTGTGACACCGGTGCCCCGTTTTCCGGCATTGTTGCTTCCTGTATTGCCTTTAAATATATCTTCCATTCGTTCCGCCATATTTTGAATTTGATTGTAAATTTTCTTCATATCATTCTCAGTCGCGTCATTCGTAGTCGTTTGATCACTAGAATTCGCTTCCGCAGAATTTATCGTTTGATTTACCTGGCGTCTGCTTACATTGGAGGTCTGTCTCACGTCATTCTCCATATATTCCATTACTCTCTTTTCTTGGAGTAGATACGAAAGAAGAGCTTGGAACGTTGAATCTCCGATTTTGCTAGTATTTCCTTGATTATCCATTTTTGTCACCCATTCCCTTTGTTGCGTTCTTGGAAGTAATTTCTCTATCATTGTTACCATCGTCGTATTGTTCATTTCTTGTTGCATACCCAGTCGCTGAAGCTCGAGCCAATTTCGTTCTATTACATCAACCATGTTGATGAATTTTCTGCTGTCGCCTTCGGGTACTGGTTTTAGTTTTTGAATATCGAACACAATTGCGTCTATTAATTTTCTTGGTTCTCCATATTTTGCATCAAGGCGTTTAAACATTTCTGAATAATTGTCTTCAATCCCTTTAATAGTGTCCAACGCTTCTCCAGATAAACATTGCCGCAGAGCATAGGGGTCTTGTCCATATTGCTTCGTCATGAGTCTATTGAAATCCTGCTTAAAACTGGCATATTGGCGTATATTTCCGGAAAAATGCGGTGAATTTAACGGTTTTACATGAATTTCCGACAGTTTTACATTTTCGTCTCTTGTTCTAGCCGCAAATGTTGTCCTAACTTTGTCCATACTTCGTCATGAGTCTATTGAAATCCTGCTTAAAACTGGCATATTGGCGTATATTTCCGGAAAAATGCGGTGAATTTAACGGTTTTACATGAATTTCCGACAGTTTTACATTTTCGTCTCTTGTTCTAGCCGCAAATGTTGTCCTAACTTTGTCCATACTTGTCTCAATCTCCATCATATAATCGTCGCACTCGTCCAACATCTTATCGATTAAATGGTGCGGGCCAGTTTCGTTGATTGCCGTCGTGACAAAATCGTTACAGCATTCTACCTGACGGAATGCGTCGATAACATCTTCAAATTTTGCCTTGATTGCCATGAATAAACTTTTGCTCTCAACCATATCTTGAAAACCAATTATTTTCCTGTTAAATTTTCTCTTCGCATTTGCCCGGTCTTGTTTAGTTTTCCTAATGTCCTTTGATGAGTCGATGTCTTCCTGTTTCTTCGTTCCGTCCATGATAGAGTTTTAAAGAAAATCAAATAGAATTACCTACTTCAAGTTACTTTAATTCTAGTTTTAGTCTTATTGAAGTTCAAGTTCAAATTCTAAAGCAAAGTGTTGGCTAGAAGATGAAATGTAATTCGAATTATAAAAACAAGGTCACTGCAATGCGATGTATAATTTATCGTGAAAATAACAAATCAAGGTACAATCAATTTCATGTTCATGTATCTTCGCCGATAAGTTTCATCCTGTAACAAATAGTGCACAAAGGTCACAAAGGCTTCACACTTCTAAATGACATAGATGAAAGGACGAAAATAATACTTAAACAGATAATAAGATAAATTACAAACTTACTTCAATGCAGCCATAAACTAAAAGTCAAAAAATAATCAAAATTAGCCGGTCGATCCAAAACCAATCATATACAGAAAATTGTTTTGTTCATCAGCTGTGGCTCGAGACTTGCAAATTCCTGGTGCCTCAATTCAAATGTTCGGCCGTGGTCGAGTGGTCCTCATACACCATCCCCCCCCCCAAAAAAACTTAATGGGTATGTTGGAGATGAAAGGCATCAGGCTGTCCAGGCTGTTTTTAAAATTATTGAAGTTCTGTGCCGTGTGAGATAGTTCCTTCGTCAGTTTGGTGTTTCTGTTCGAGGAAGTCACTGGAATGCTTGTGTCGATGTCGCTTATAGAAACCGGTCGATGTGGTGACCCTGTGGACATCTTTGTCCGTTAATTCGGCTTAAAAAAGAACAATAACTGAAATAGGCGCAACGAACGCCCCAACGGCGAGCCAGGTTCTCGCCCCGTTCAGCCGGTGCGCTGTGGGCCGAATGGCATTCTGACTGGTATTCGATAGTTCCAATGGCGTCACGCAATGTTCCCACTATCGAGTTAGCGAGAACGGATGTCACTGAAATTGGTCTATCCTGCCCGGGGCTGCTGGATTGATTGGTCACGTGATGACATCGGCTATTCACCGGCTGATATGCTGCGTCTGTCTCACCGCCTGGCAATGGGCATCTCATTTAAAGGAAATAGTTCACATTTTAACCACAGTGTATATAAATACAGTGTCGGCAAATGAGCCTGGTCACGTGACCGGCGGACTCGCTGTTTTTCGAGGGATCCGCACGTGCGGTTGTGGCGGGGGCACCTCCCGGTAACTGGTGCCGACTCGCTCTCGGCCCCCATAGGGATACAATGGGACCTACTTTTTGATTAGCTCTCCTGACTAAACTAGGACGAATTTTTCAAAGATACAACTAGCACCACATGCAGTCGTGTGTAAGCTTTCTAACGGTACCAAAAATATATTTTTATCGGCAAAATTGAATAAGTACAGGCCCATTTTAGGTTCGATTCGCGCTTATGACGGAAGAGAAGCCACCACTAATTATAAATACAACGAACAAGTGTTGAAAACCGGAGTATAAATGCAGTTTTGAATTACATTAAAGCCATTTTCAGTCACTGCAACCGATGAGTGGAAGTGATCGGTGTATTAGGTCACCCGTTACCGTTAGGTATTACTTTTTAACTACCTACCAACAACACCCATAGGTATTGTTCTGATCTATTCCAGACAACAAACTAAGGTTTTGTGTTGAACTGTGCCAGAAAGAGCAGTTAGATCAAATATGGATACGAAGGTAAATAGGACTATACGAGCATCCATGTTGATACGTTTATGCTGGAGCTAGTAGTTGATAGGTGTTCCGTTCTATTGATGCGGGCAAACAACGAATCGGGGTTGTCATGGGCGAATCTATAGGTATAATTGTGTCTTGTATGAAACATGCACGGTATCTGCAAATACTAGAATGCTGCTGCTAAGCTGAAAGAAGGCTCAGCCGGACTTTTATACTATGAACCGGCCATGTTTAGTTTATGCCGGGCTCGAGGGTGCAGTGTTCGTCACGGGCCAGCCAACCCACAGAACACAGCCCATCCCAAGCGGGGCCCATGGGCGCCGAACCCAGCCCAGCTCAGGCCCATTGAATTTCACACGCTTTTGAGGCTTTTATGGCGGTCGCCGGAATAGGCAAATGGTAGATCAACTCTTCAAAAATTGTTTCAATATCTACTTCGCTGGGAGGAAATGAGCTTTGATTGTCAAAAAATGCAAAACTTTGCATTTGTTACAGGCACAACATCCGAAATGCAACATGTGCTTACAGTTGTACGCCCGTCCTTAACATGGTTGTCATGAAAGTTGGGGGAGGGGGGAGGCGGCCGCACGTTGAGGGGTCACAGTCCGGTATTTTGACGCCCCCCCCCCCCTTTACCGCCTGAACGGGAACCTTCACTCCATCCCGTCCTCTGTATTAACCGCCTTTAAGCCCGCCCGATGACCCTGCCGTTTTCAAAGCCAACCTGAGCTGAGCAAGATAATTCGGTGTAAACGTCGACAACTGCAGTGAGTTGTGTGCAGTCCTGGTGTTCCGCTACAACATTATTGCACCTCTCGTTTTCGCCATCATCGACGCCGTGCACTTCCGAAACATGGATGCTCCGGGACAGTTTGAAACAAGTAGATGTCCTACACGGACGCTTTGCACATCCAGTGTCTATACATATTTCCATATTTCAAACAAATCGAGCAGAAAATATTATAACGAAACAGCGGCGTACAGCGTACAGCGTGCAGCGGGGATATCTGAACAATGCACCATACATGACGAAGAGCCAGCAGACCCTGGTGCAGCTCAAGACGGCGGTCGTTGATACCACTCTTGTGCCTGCGCCCAATGCGCGCCAACGTTGGCGGGGGGGGGGGGGGGGGAGCAGTGAGTCATTCAATACGTTGAGCTACTTTGAACATGTTCCATAGCGGCCTGACAGTAGCAAATGTGTGTTGGCTAGCTGCGCAACTGAGTAAATTTTCACACAATTTTACTTCCTTTGATTTGCAAATCCTTTTATCTGGTAAACATGCTTTAATTAAGTAGAATGATAATGAAGTGATTCAGTTTTTGGAAACGTTTCAGAACAAAACATATTAAAACAATGTCTCATACGTATTATCAGAATAACAACAAAGACCGCCGGCCATCGGTCATGAACACCGTTCACCTGTCACTATCAATGCCAGTGGAAACGCACACACACACGCGCGCACACGGACACACACGTCAGCCGCAGTCAGTTACAGGTAAGTTCCCAGAGGCCTCTCCGACGGCGGCCGGCCGGCTCCCAGAGGCTGCTCCGACAGCGGCTGGCCGTGGCTCCCAGGGACTGCTCCGACGGCGCGGCGGCTGTCGCTACCAGGGGCTGCTCCGACGGCGCCTGGCGCGCCGCTCGCAGATCCTCCTTGGAGTTCTAGCGCGCTGATGGTGGCTGTGTGATCCGCTTTCCCTTTCTGAGCTTGGTGTAGCACAGGCGACCTGCAACCACATCACAAAAACTGAGTTTGTGAATTTGAATCAACTTTGAACTGAACCACAACTATTATGTTTTTTATGAAGATTTACCAAACCAACAATTTCAACTTCCACACTGCGCTGACAGGTATACACATAATACACAAATAAAGGCTAAAACCGTTTTTCCACTTCTTCCACTTGTCATCAATACATTTTGCCCAAGATATGAGTGTGCAACAAGTAATACATATGACTAGCCTGCTGCATTGCTTTGATGGCTTCGTGCAAAATGTAAACCTAAAAATTTCGCTCTTTCTGATTTATGGCACATCACTTTTATGCCAATTTATTAACTTTTTGGAAGGTGGCATTGTCCCTTTAACACAGGCAAGCCCTTGCCGAGCCCGGCATATGCCCGGCCTCCTCGAGCTTAGGCCCGGCAAAAGTCCGGCGGGTCCGATTTTAAGCCCGACACCGGAGCCCTGTTTCACCGGTGATAGCAGCACGATGCTTTTACACGTGTCAAATTGGGTTTCCATGGAGACATGAACAGGCCCATTGCTCCAACACTACCACAAGTGTGACGTCAGCTCGCGCAATTTGATAGCAGCGTGGTAGCAGCGTCCCGTGAAACACCGCCCGGGCCCGTAGGCTCAAGACTTGCATCATTACTATGCATATACTGGTATGGTAAGCAACCTGGCATATGAGTTGGACTCAAACAATGAAGTTAAGTGGCTAGTGCTTACCGGAAATGAGCAATCTGGTACCCGATGTCCCGTTGTACTGGAAGAGTGTTGGGATGCAGCTGCCCTCCTCAAAATGACAGGAACAGAGCTGGGAAGTGCTCCTGGGAACTGCATCTGCACGTCTGTAAATGACAGATGCAACAAATGTAACAACTGGCATACTGTTCTTGCACGTGGACTTTTACATACAAAATGCCTTGTGTTTAGAGGTAAGATATTGACTCAGACAGCACAGCCACAGCTTCTAAACAAGATGGTATCACTGACACTGTATCATGTTATTTTGGCTCCAGAATCCAGAATCAGAAGGTTGACATCCTCACCTAGCAATCAAAATGTAGTTAATTGGCTTTATATCAATGTGAGGTGCTAAGAGTGAACAATTATGATTATTTACAATGCTTCAGAACATGGTCAAACCTTAACTAACCCAACCTACAGTGGTTCGCTAGCAACATTCGTAGCACGTCTTTTTTGTACATAGTAACTGGAATATATGCTAGGTAAGAGTACCTACATCTTTTCTTTTCTTTTTGTTAAAGAGGTATGCATTTGGCCTGTAGCCTATAACACACCTCTTCAACCAAAAATATTTTCCTTACCCATCCCAACACATCCCTTAGAGCTGCCTGCGGCATTACACTCAACGGATTACCAGGTCAAAGCATTACCTTCATTAGGTAACTTGTGGTAAACATGATAAGCTTTTAATGGATTTCATGTTCTCTTTCCTGTAATTAGTTTTATGCAATGGATTTGATTTGTTATGCTCATTATGATCAGCACAAAAATAAAACCTTTATATAAACAATATTTTCTGTATTTTAATAAAAGAAGAACTATATTTGGTAGTAGTAAAGCAGGCGTCACACTTCTTTTTGCAACCAAGGAGAGGTGCTGTAGGTTAGGTTGTAGGTTCTAAGTTGTAGGTACCTAGGTTGTAGAGTTTAGGTTGTAGGTATGGCTAGGTCAGGTTTAGTTAGGTTTGTTTTGGCTTGGTTCAATTAGAAAGCATCTCTGGGTATAGCACCTCTCCTTCATTGCAAAAAGTAGTGTGACGCCTGCTTTACAACTACCCAATATTCTATAGAAAATATTGTTTGACGCGGAAGCTTGCATTGATTACCTAATCATGTTGTAAAATTCAAACCCATTGGCTGTTAGCAGCATGCCAATGCTGATTAGCTGACGATGACATGGCTGCATTCCTCAGCAAATTCCTCAAGAAGGCACTTTTCAGGACGAGAAATGGAATCTTTGCCTATGGTGATCATTGGGCTGTAAAAGCTCCTGGTTTGTGCTTGTCATTACATAACATTTATTACATTTATCATTACTACATAATGTATTGCATTTATCAATACAGCTAACAAGGACACATCTGGATCTTACCTGACAGCCCTCACCCAAGCGACCCTCATCTTCTCCTCTCTTGGAAACCTCCTAAATGTACCTACATCTTGCAGCAACACAAAACTGAATCAGAGTAAGAGCTCTGCAATCTGCAATAAAATACTAGGCAGGTCACAGCAAAATACAAGAGAAAAGATTGAAAATCTGATACAAGCTTAAAATTGTATAAGATTTGGAGCAAGCAGTTTGTTGACGCCATCAAATGTATCAACCGCGCAGTATTTGTCATCAAATTTTGGTGCCGAGTCAAGGTCAAATGTCACGTGACATTTGGCCGACAGTCGATTTTAACATGGGTTTTGAACTGGAATAGCAGTTCCGTAGCTTGGGCTGAGACGAGCATAAATCAGGAGCTTTTACAGCCCAACGATCACCCTAGGCAAAGATATTCTATTTCTCGTCCCGAAAAATGTGTCTTGCGTTGAGGATGTGTGCCTTGCATATATTCGCATCCAGTATGAAACGAGCATGGGTCCCGAAAATTCTTCAGAAACTAGAGAAATTATCTACGAGAACTCTAGAGAAATTCGCTCCAGTGAGGCGCTCCAGTAACAAAAGCACGAGCAGATCGCCCAAATGCCGGTGGCCGCGATAATTTCTCTAGTTTCTGAAGAATTTTCGGGACCCATGCTCTTTTCACACTGGATCGCGTGTGCCTTACAGAAACTGAAAAGTTCTTCCTATATCAAAAATAGAGAAAATAATCTTTTGTTGTAAAAAGGTTTTATTTTCTTTGCTGATCATTTTGAACATAAAAAAATCACAAATCTATTGCAAAAAAAAATAATTTCGTGAAAGTGAACTATTTCCTTTAACATCTTAGGGCGTTTTCAGTCATGGTGTCAGTCGATTGTGCTCTTTATCGGTCAAGGTTCGTGAGTTTATCGGCTATGGTGGATTATGGTGATAAACCTTCAAGTGGAACTCCTGTCGACAACCAGTTGTATATTATCGCTCCGATTGTGAGCATCGGGGCTGAGTTAGGACATTGGCTTGGTCTTCCTTTGAACATCATCAGCCGTTGGGGCTTTCTAGGATTCTCATCTTGCTGGTTTCTTCTCGATAGCGTTGCGTCGGTATGCTGGTCTACCCACGGGTGGGGACTGAGAGAAGAATATCCCCGTCCGCCCAGTGGCGGGTGTCCAAGACGGTCGGCTTCCTCGGTTGGCTGGCGAGGTCGGTCGGTCCCTCCGGCCGCCCTCCGCCCATTCGTGTGTCCTCACCCGTGCTGTTCCTGGACCCCCGCCGGGCGCCGCTGATGGGCCCCGTATTGATCTCCCCTGGTCATTGATAACCGATCTGTTTGCTCCCCTCCTCTGCCGTCGTCGGGCACATCGTCACTGTCCCGGGCCCATCCGCCCGGTCACGTGATCTGCCCGCAGACACGCAAACGTTTAGTGGACGTGTCGTCTTATCGACAGGGGTCGCATGATGGGCTTTTTATTCGGAAAAGGAGATTCTCTGTGCGTTAAGTTGTCTATTGCTTTATGGATCTGGTCATCATGCGGCTTATTTTGTACGATGCACAAGATCATAGCGTTTGCGTTGATTTTTAACGTTATGTTACTATCGACGCTTATTTAACCGATTTTCCGTTTCACAGTATATCTAACATACATTTTTACTGATTCGCCTGGAATCAAGTATGACTCTGTTCAGCATGTATTGCCGCACGCGGTCAAACGATCGGGTCTCTTGTCATGGAACTGTTCTTTCTGGTCCAGTGTCACGTGATCTGATGGCGGGACGGTCGCTCTTCGAAAGGCCCGTTAGCTCTGTGGGATCGGCGAGCGTCACAGGTGCTCAGTATGACGCTCCCTCATCACCCATTCGCGAGCCGCTCATCTGACCGTTACAGGAATAAGATCAAGTCGTTTTTTGTCCGTGATAGGACTAGTCCAGAGCATTGACGAAGTCGATTACTGATTAGCATTCACTGCCATGTGTGATGTGATTTGGATTTCATGGCGATCCAGGCTTGGCCCCTTGGCCGGTGGCTTGAACCTTTTTTCACATGAGACCCGTTGGCCGACATTTTGTCTGGAGGATCGCCAGTAAAAAGTGGAGCAAAAAGCGGTCGGTGGGATGGGTGCAGGCTACAGCGGGGTTCTGTTTGCTGTATAGGTGTCGCTGCGGAACTAACTCGTGAGAGGTCACGAGACGGGCCGGTCCCACACCGACGGGCCGTTAGCAACGGTAGTCTGGCCAATGCTGGCCGAGGCTGGCGCCGTGCCACCTCGCACCAGACGAGCCGGAGCGTCTGCCCACTTGGTTACCAACCAAGAGGGGACTGACCGCGTTTCACTCTCGCTACTGGGCGGCCTGGACAGTCACCGTGGTGCGTGTTTTCGTCCGCAGGCTAGCCTAGATAGTTGGCCAACTGAGCTATTCCTGAACACATGCGTTTTGGGACTCCTGGGCTGGCACTTAAAGCCGGCGATTTGGCTCATGCCCTGGTACATGGTTTGGAGTTCACAGGGCTGTCATCGCCCGGCGGTTGCTGAAACCATGTATTTCTTGCGGTCGGGGAGGTTCGCGGAAAGCTTGTGGATGAGATTTCCTGGAACTGGGCCCGTTAGTTGTCGCACGTTAAGCTTTCGGTCTCCAACGAATGGTTTTGGTGAGCTGACGATTCTCGGAACTTGGAATAGGAGATTTACGAGTTTCCCGAGCTGGTCTTCCTTACGGAGTGATTCGATGTGCGGGGAAAGGTAGAAGAAAGTTCGATCTTTCTCTTGGAAAATGTGGGCTGAATCTTCCCTTCCAAGGCGATATTGCCGCGCATTTACTCGTATGTTTTACCTTTTTTCGAAATGTTGACTACGATGAAATATGCGCGCTCTAGAACAGACACTAGGCAGCACTCTACCTCAAATCCATAATGATGCCGCTATTTGCGTAGTCCCGCGTTTAGTTGTTGCTTTTTCTGACCGTCTCCCGCAAATGAGTAATTTGTCAGCCCTTTGGTCCATGCCGTGCTGCCCGTCCAATACGCGTTGTTTAGTGTAGCCTTGTAGCAGCTGCAGTGCTCATCGGCTCCTCATCTGACCGTGTGCGTCTCCCTGTTTCTCGCCAGTAACATCACCCACGGCTCCGACTCGGTCAAGTCCGCCGAGAAGGAGATCGCCCTCTGGTTCAAGCCCGAGGAGCTGACCGACTGGAAGTCGGCCATGCACACCTGGGTCTACGAGAACTAGACGACCACCGACCGACCGGAGCGCCCTCTGCGCCGGCGGAGCCGTCAATGGCGCTGCCGCGCGGACATACTGAGAACTCCGACTAATGAATTAGCCGACAGGTGGCGCGGGGATCGCATTTTAGACGATGTGGTTTATGTTGTTTCTGTTTGGACATCTTTATGTGGACAGCATTACCCTGCACGCTTGTAGGGACCAATACACGAAGTCGGAATGAAATGCTGTCTTTCGGGGGTTTACGATCGAATACATTGAGCATGAGTGCGCATAAGCGTAGGAACCATGGGTGCAAGGGTGCAGCTGCACCCACAATATTTCTCCAGTGGGTGCAGACAATGTATTCTGCACCCACAATAATCTGAACCAAAAACCCCTTTTCTCATCAACACTACTTTCCATGCAGCACGGCAAATTCAGGATATGTTGCCCACTATCCATCTTTCGAAGCATTTGCTTTTGTGATGGTCTTCAAAACTTACATTTGTGCTGAAGAAAAAAAAGGAAATGGAGCATGTGATTGAGCACATACCGAGCCGATGACCCACTGTCAAAATTTTTAGCCCGATATCTTCGAAAATGGCTAAGTCGGCCGCTTTTACTTTTTGCGGTTATCAATATTGACAATTTTAACCCTCGCATGTGTGCGGCGTTTTCCAGCTTCTAATGTGTAGGGGGAGGGGGGGGGGCTGATCGGGCTAGAGGTTCGCGGAAAAAACGAGGGTGTTACCCGCGACGAGAGAAAGCCGATGATACCCAATTTTAAGGTCCTATGTCATTGGTTGACCTTCCAGGTCAGGTCAATAACCCAAAAGTCGGGAAAATCGGGACCTGCTAGAACTGCGTAAAGTGAAGCTGTATCGTTTTTTTTCGGGGTGCTGATCACGAATTTCTTGTTAGTTTTGATCACAGATGATTTCTTCATGCATTTAGGCCAGATCGGGTCAGGTCAGGTCAACCATTAGGCGTCTTACCGGCTATCCATAGTAGGTGTCAACTAGGGGAAGCGGGGGTAACACCGCCCCCCTAAGCTTTTCGCCAAAATGAGAGAATATGTGTGAAGTCTCTTGGTAGTTATTGTTTTGGTTACAATATTTAAACATTTTCTCACGTGTTTTACGTAGGTACTTATTTTGCATGCTCCTAAAAGGTTTTCATGTATCACGACTTTTAAAAATACCTTGCATATTTGCTGCCTACAAATTGTGTGGGTAACCCCGCCACCGGTGTTGATGTTAACCCAACCCATTCCTACGAAAGCTTTTAATTGTTCAGAGATCGTGTGCGATGAGTTTCCTGTCGGTAAGTGGTAATTTTCGCAAATAATCGGTAATGGACACCTAAATAGGTATAGGTTCATCAGCTGTTTGCCAGTTTTATACAGCTGGCAAGTGCTTGGTCGGGATGCATGAAAAATATAAAGTAAAAAATCAAATAAGCTGCTTATTCCCGACTTAGGAACATCTACGAACATAAATAAGGCGTGTCTTTGGAGTTTCATCACTTATCACGCTACAAACAGGAAACACCGCAACCTCAATTGGGGTAACACCGCCACGGGGTGGCGGTGTTCCCCAATAAGTGATCACAAGCAAAAATCGTCAGCGGTAAGAATGTACTACACGGTTCAAGCAAACTTATCTTACTGGACAAAGCCGATCAGTTATTTTTCGATGTAATCAAGTAAATCAAAATGAGTCTCTACTTAAAGACATTCAAAAGTGCTCCCAACTCATCGAATTTTTATAAGAGAATGTGCATTTTTCTTTAAATGCCCACATTGAGCTTCGATTACACTGAACACCGGAACACAAATCAGAAGACGCTTACCTGCGTGCGGTCAATAGGAAATAACGGATTTTTACACTTCACATTTCATACTTTCGCCGCCAGATGGGGTGGCGGTGTTTCCCACAGTGGCGGTGTTACCCCCGCTTCCCCTACCACTGCCGGCGTCGTAGCATGTTACGAAGGCACTAAACTACTTCGTTAACGTTCAAATGGGTGCTAAATTCGAAATCAGCCCGAAAAAAACTACCCTAGAAACATGTAATACTCGAAAAAGTGAACCGAGGTCATCAAAGGTCAGTGACCTGACCTGACCTTCAGGTGACCTTCACAACCACCGTGATGCATGGGAGGAACATCATTTCACATGTTTGAACGTCTACAATCACAAAAAGACTGGAAACGCGCGGATAATGTGAGCTGACATAGGCCAAATCGCGATTCCGGCCGAACATGGTCTCGAGAATCAGGTCACAAGTCAAAGGTCTTTTGGGTCAGGGTCATGAAATTTTCAGAGTAGGTGTAAAACTAATCAAATCGAGGTTGCTTAAATTTTCGTCGCGATCGGCCGCTTTTTGCGCGAGTTATTTGCGAAAAACCATGGGGGCTCATCCTAGCCACCCACACATGCGAGGGAATTAATGCTTCCAAATGCACTTATCGGTCGGTACCTTTTCGACATGGTATACACTAGAGGTGGTAAAAGATGAAAATTTTGGGAACTAGACTCGAACCAGACCCGCGGCTGGACATTTCTGGAACCAGTCGGAACCAGTCTTAGTTGGAAACGGAACCAGTTGGACCCGTTTCCCAAAAGTCAATTAATACAAACTACTTGTAGGAATCATAGTTGCATCATGCAAAACAGCCTATTTCCCACTGGGAATACTCATGAGCTACTGTGTGCAAAGAAACATTCACTTCATATTTTGTAATAATGTGTAGTGTGCAAGATGTATAGTTTATGGTAGGACCCGGTTGGGCCCGTCAGAAAATTTCCAGGAACCGGTCTGGACCCGGGCCCAGACTGGTTCTTTGGACCGGGTCCTCGGGTCCACATTTTGCCACCACACCCCTTCAAAGCTCGTAACGAGCCTTCGCTCGGGTGTCGCTCCCTACCCCCCCCCCCCCCCCCCGCCGCTTCACCGGCCATGGCTGGATTTCTGCACCCATGCACCCACAATGTTCCAGCCGTTCCTACGCCCATGTGAGTGCGGACAGCTGGAGCCTGGGCGATGGCTAAGGCCTTCAGATGCCGTGACGCAAAACACAAGGAAGGGGCAACGTAGTGTGGATACCAGCTCTAGCTCGAACACCTTGAGCCAGGACCAGTTAGCCGTTTTATCTCGACGCTGTAGCTTCTTCCATACACTGCCTGTATTCTACCTGACCCCCATCTCGCTGTGTGCGGCGGTCCTCGCTCTGTTCAACGAAAGGCAGCGGGGAGCCAGCAAATAAGTTGTGTGCTGATAAAAACCAGCTTCACGTATCGAGAAGAAAGATCAGATTCCAGTCAGCTAAACTCCGTCGTGGCTGCGGAATTTGTTTATGTCGCGCCCTCTAATAGGTTATGGCAAAACAGTTCGTATTTCTGTGTATTTGCTCAGTTTTATGTTTTAGTAATTACTTAGTCGCTTACTTATGCTGAGCTAGACGGCTCAAAGCGACGGAGAAGGTGTCTAAAATGAAATTTCATAAGTATATTATGTCATTTCATCTTTTCTAAGACAGCCTTCGTCAATCGACGAAATGGCTTCTGATGGAGCCGCTAACTATAACTAATCGGGGTACGGACGATAAAGGAGAAGGGTGCCGTGCATTTGATACTCAATAGGCAACTTATTGCAGGATAATTTTTAGCCAGCCGAATGATTCGTTATCCGAGAGCCTCGAGGCTCCACCTGTTGGAGGTCCGTGTATCATCATACGTTGATGCTAACGTAGATCCTACAAAACCTGGGGATTAGCGTTCAAGATGAAAATGGACGGTACCGCTAATGTAAATCTGATTCTACGTGATTCGTTGGCCTGATACACGGTGGGGAGTATGGCTCGCGCCTCGACCGTTTTTCATCATATTACACGGACTTCAAAGCACTGAGCACCGTTCTCTCTGGGTTTGGGGTAGCCTTCACTTTTTCCCAGGACATTATTGGAGAGTAGGTGTTTGGTTTCTTTCTGACTACACTTGCCCTTCATTGTAACCTTAAATAACTCCCTGAGTATATCATGTAATTCAACATACATACATACATTCATGCATGAAACCCTAAAACAAATTTGAGAATTATTTCTTCGTTTTTAGTCGATGTCTAAAGGGAAGGGATGCATCCGGTGCTTCGCTAGTACTCCAGATATTGGCGACCATCAGTGATGTCTAGTCATCAGAGCAGGAGGTGCTGAGGCCGGCAATAAGCGAGGCGGTCGGGTTACTAGGTAGAATGCGATGATGCCCGCCGTCTCCCCAAATACAGCCGCCCTGTTCAGTGTTCGACGAGGGAAATAGATTCGATCCATCCCTCCATCCCTAACGCCGCCGTGGCCCCATCTGCTGTACCCCACCATAAAACACACGTGTGTGTGTGTGTGCGGCACTCCGCCTGAGAGGACCCTCTTCATACGAGACCAATCCACGTCCCCATAACCCGGGGCGGCCGCCGGTCGGGGCCCTGCAGGCGCCAGCGGAGCTCAGAGCAGCCAGTGTCTGAGACTCCCCGGAGGCACACACCGAGCCCATACCGCCCTGTTTATGGCATCCCTGGCGACGCGACGGTCATAAACGGCTGGCCGCCTCTCGGCCGACGTCTGTGCGTGCCCTGGGTCTCCGCACCCTCCCCGTGGGTACCCCCCCCCCCCCCCGACGGCGCTGACTGGCCTGCGCCGTGTCATGATCGTTGGCGGCGGCTGTAAAATCGCAGTCGACTGGCGGTGCTTTTTGTGCGCGCCGCTGCGCCGAATTTAGTCGCCGGCTCGTCTCGGAAGTACCCGCCGCCGCGTCGAAGACGACGCGCGTCGTAAACTGGCGTCGGCCCGTCCCGGCGGATACGGATGACGGCGCCGGGCAGTTGCGCGTTCGAAGAATCGGGGTTTGCTTTGGAAAATGGTGAGGTTTGATTCGAAGAAACATTCGTGATACAACGCTTGTCTCATTTAGCCCTTACCCGTCTGTGAACCGGGGAGGCTGTGCCAGCGCGGCGGTCTCATCACACTCTGTGGAAACGGTCAAACCAGCCAAACGTCCTGTGGATCTTGGCCGCGGAGAATGGGCCCAAATCAAGTCTCGTTATCGTATTCACTACTTAGTGAATACCTGTCCACTGTGATAACGGGAACAGGATATGCCTCGTATCCATGACTTCATGAGACAGAGATCCGACTGCCGCTGGCCGCTGCGCTGACAGTGACGTGAGTGTTGACCGTTTCCACAGAGTGTGATGAGACCGCCGCGCTGGCACAGCCTCCCCGGTCCGTAGGAGTTGGGGGGGGGGGGGGGGCAGTTGCGGGAAGCGGGTTATCTCAGCCGGCTGTTGGACGCCGGTGCTTTGTCGTCCCTGCCGCTGGCCGTGACCGTTAGTGGCTGAATGGCGTCATCCGGACGGCAGCTCGTCGTGGCGACGATGGTTCGTGGTCTGGTACTTTCGGTGGTGGTCGCTGACTGGTCTGGCTGTGGTCACACTGGTCCCGTTGTGGTCTGATTGGTTTACCTGTGGTATGAATGGTCCGGTTGTGGTCTCTTCTTTAGTCATTTTATTTAGACAGCCAAGGTTTTACTAGCCATTAAAAAAGAAACAACAAATTTATGTAGGTATGGCGTAAAGGCCTGGCTACACTATGCGTTTTCTTCGTGCGTTTTTTGCGTGTTTGCGTGTTTTGCGTGATATCGTTCTAGAAAAAGGAACGATATTACGTTTTTGTGATGTTTTTCACCTTAAATTTTAGTTACATAAGAGTTATATTAGCTTTTGTATATAACCAAAGTAAAAATCATATTGTTTATAACTTTTTTCCTAGAACGATATTACGCAAAACACGCAAACCTGCAAAAACGCACGCAGAAAACGCATAGTGTAGCCAGGCCTTAATAATGTGAGAGCCGAGACGTTTCTTGTCTCATCTAAATCCAAGTCCGCAATGTAGAAATCGCTATGTTCGTCACACACTGCACTCTGAATATTGTCCCCGCTTTGTTATCACGACTCACGAGCTTTATCGAGAAACGTGATCAGAGCATGTCACGAGGAACATGCTCGTAGGGCATGCGCTTATGATGGATTAGCTGCAGACTCTAATGACGCCATGCGGCACAATTAAACGTTTTTACACTTCGTTTGCTTACTCAGTTAGCCGCTGTGGTTAGCCTACCGGCTCTGTGTGTGTTCTACCTCGCCCATCCCACGGCTATGACCACCCTCTCATCACCACACCACCGTCAGCCCCCTCACAACTCATTCAGAGCTCTCCGCCCGTCGGCGGCGCAGCTGCAGTGTTTACAAATTCGTGTGTCGCCGGGCCAGAGGCACGTCCGCCTCCATGACCGGCCGCGGCCCGTGCAGTGTTTACCGGTCTAATCAGCGCCCTATCACAAACGAGCCCTCCTCTGGGCTGGCCGTTCAGTTCCATCGGGAAAAATCGTAACCCGAGCTGCTGTCTGTATGGGCGACTTCAGCAGGAGTTTTGCTATCGGGAATGACGAGAAAACAGTCGAGTGAGATTTCTGATCAAACGGCAGCAGACATCACACGGAATGGGCGATGATGGCACGCATGTATTATACTGAAAACGAGACCAAGATGACTTCACACCAGCATATGCAGTATGCACTCCATCGAACATACCAGCGCTGCGTGCACGACTCAAAGCGCTCTGCAGCAGCCCCATACGCGCTCGACACCGAGAGCGTATCTCTGGATTATTAGCGCCCCTAATTGGCTGAGGCGCGGTCTCGCTCTCGGTGGGTGAGCCTTGTCACCCGGCCGGGGCCGGGACGCGCACACACCACTGCACTGCGCCCGGCGGTCAGCAGAGTATAAATACAGCGTGCAATGCTGACGGGTTGTACCAGTCATCGGCCACGTATATAAACACGGTCACTCTGTGACCACAGCGCACAGAGTTCGCCGGCACGCCCAGTGCAAACTCATCGAGCCCTCATTAAACCAATGGCAGTCACCCAGTCCGCGAATAATGCACAGAGAATGGCTCGGTGCGGTCACGCGCTATGCACTTCCTGGCTACCTACAGCAGATACAAAACAAACATAAATAATCTCGCGTAGTGCGGGCAGGCGGGACACTCTAGCGACCTCCCCGTAGCTCAGTAATCAGACCATAAATCAGGTTTCATACCAGACCAGACCAGACCACGGTCGGTTCATATACGGGTCACGCTGGACCTCACGTTGTATAATAGAGAGGGAGGGTGGGAGTAGAGTTTGAGCGGCGTCCGGGACGCGACCGGCAGCTGATGGCCACCTGACGGCAGCGTAAACCACCAGAGGACACGTTCCAGCACTGTTCTCAGTGCCTCGGGCGGGAGTACGGTCCAGCCCGGCCCTCGACCTCAGCGGAGGCAGCTCGTACACGCAGCGGACGAGTGTAAAAACATGTGTCGCGCACTGACTGGAACGCTCTTTCGACAGGATTGGATACAAACGGCGATACTGGACTGTGTTACATCAGGCTGTGCAAACGACACTGTGAACTGTCGGTGTCAGCGACAACGTTTGCCACTGTGACACAAAGCCGTCCTTTTACGTCCACAGACCCGGGCTCATACGCGTATCAACCACATCTCAAACACTCACACGCAGCAACGCACCCTGCGCTGGCACTAATAGCACCGCACCGATAACCCCTCGCACTATCAATGCCCGCGCGGCGTCGCATTCATTCCTATCACATGGGATGACTGTCCTGAAGCCTCAGATGATACGGCGGCCCGCTGGCCCCCTCTGCATCGTCACCACACCGGGGGAGCGCCCACAGTCCGCGGCGCGCTGATGATTCGCAGACACACCGTCCCTCTCCCCTCGAGTCCAAAGGTGCGCCGGTTCAGAGCGTCCCGACCGGGCTCTGGTGGACCGCCACCCCTTCAGTTCGGCCCCAGCCACTACCAGACGCGTCCGTCATCGGTTTGCGGTCGGAAGTCTGCAGAGGTTTCCGGTCCCGGCGTCTGGTGTGCGGTTATGTGCGCGGTGATCACAGACGAATGGCCAGCACAACCACCGTCTGGTAACCGTCTAAGAACCGTCTGGTAACCACCTGACCACATAGCAGCCACCTACACACCCCGGTATGAGTTCCGGTCACTATAGAGTCGTCTCGACTTCGCGCAGTGACTCAACTCGCTCACATCTTGGTGGCACGGTAGAAGTTGTCGTCGTTTGGCGACATGCCGGCGATGTAGTGACCCGAGCCGAAGTCGCACCGCTCTGAGGCGAACGACGGCGGGTAGGGCAGCACCTCCTCGAAGTTGCTCAGCTTGTTGAGGTTGTAGATGGGCGGCATGTCCACCGACTCGTGTTTGACAAACAGCTGACGCTCGTTGTCGGTCGTCGTGGAAACGGAGGCGTTGCCAACCGAGTCGGCCAGGGACGCTGGAAAGAGAGACAGGCGAGAGTTAATAACGGTCAGAGTGAACGGGTCACTGGGGCTGAAACAGGTCACCAGGGATTGAAGAGGTCACCGGGGCTGCAAGAGGTCACCGGGGCTGTGAGAGGTCACCGGAGTCGCGAGAGGTCATCAGGGCTACAAGAGGTCATCGGACCAGCAGGCGGCAGGAAATGCCAGCCCAGCCCATCCATGGTCCGGTCCAGTTCATGATCCTCCTCCAAGTAAATGTAAATAAACACATGACAATGCGGTTGTTGTTCCCTGAGCAGTATGTCTATTGGTGTAACTGCATCCCACTTCAACATTCTAATTTACCCCTCGAGTAGGAAGATATTGTAATATGTACGGAACGGTAGCATTTTTACACATCACTGTCCGAGACTGAAACTGATACTGCAAATAAAACGATACTGACGAATATACACAGCGCCACAAAACATAGAAACACGTGCTCCATCGCAGCGAATGGTACCCATCCACTTTTTATTTCCCGATCGGCCAGCCCGGCATTGCGATCATAAACGCTTTCAACATCAGCTCGCTACTGCACTGCCAGCTAGTGAGGTCCATCTGCCTGTTGATCGACGGCCGTACATAAACAAGGCACATTGATGGTGGCTGGGTCACTATTTCCACACCGAAAAACGAATACGACCTGAGAGCGAAGGACGTGCATCGAACGAAAATGACTCACAAAGTGCCGCAATGTCCGCCGTATTTCGGTCCTAGTGTGCCACTTCTGAGCAATAAGTGATCCACCTTCGGCACCTCCCACCTTTACGTACGGGTTGACCGAATTAGAAGGCACCATCCACATGAGTCCAGTATAGACATCGGGTCCCTACATCGACGGCATGTCTAGGTGAAAGACGCCGGCTGTTATCACCACATCCTTCTGAAGCTCTCTGACTGAGAGGCTGACTGACTGACTGACTGACTGACTGACTGACTGACTGACTGACCATGATCAAATGACTGGCTGACTGAACCGGTCACCGGCCGCCCTGTAGGTATCCGTTCAGCGCTAGAAGATAATGACCAGTCACCAGCCCCATTAGTTTCCAGGTCATGTCGGCCAGTCTCGCTGTTCTACTGATCCGAAGGTAACAGATAATTTGAGCGGTTATCAATGCCGTTTATTTACTTTAAGGCTTAACAATTTACGTTTTGTGTGTGCATACGATGATCTTCATCAGTTGGCCATAGCTGCTTATCGGTTTGCCCCGATTAGGGTCCGACTAAGATATTTAAATAAGCTGAATGAATAATGAATGAAAGTTAGTACAAGTCAAAATAAACTTATTCAAGCTTATGTTTCATGTGGGCTATAGAATTCAAACTAATTACTTTCATTTCACATCATCTCCACTTCATACGAATACGATACATACATGCGTATTACTTTAGATACCATATAGGTATTCGAGACACTATCGTTTCCGCCGTTCGTCGATCTCCATAGGTCGTGTGTCAGCAGCCGCTGTAAAAACACAGCGGCAATCACACCCGATTGACTGTAGCCAGTAACCACCATGGCCTACAGCGAAGGATCATAACAGCCCATGTTAAGAGCACTCGCCTTTGCAGTATCCCCCATCCACTCCCGCCTATCTCCCGTCCTATGTCGGCGCTTCTCTATCCTGTCTACAGTGCACTGCAGTGGCTCGGTCGGCCGCTCCGTGCAGCGCCTCGGCACCCTGCCCCGGTGGAGCGGCGGCCCGCGTACCGTCCCGGTCATCTGGGCAGTGTCAGCCGGCACCCGACAAATACAGAGCGGTGTGAGTGCGGCCGAGCGCGGCCGCGACCGGTGTTAGCTGCTGCGGGTGTCGCCGGTCTGTCAGCAGTGGCCGCGGGTGGGGCGGACGACCCGGGGGACAGGTGGGGGCCCAGGGGACCAGAGAGAAAGTAGGCTGCAGAGGTAGGTGTGGTAAAGGAGTGGAGATAACGGGTCAGGTGTGAGGAGAGGCAGAACAGAGCGGAGAGGAAGCGAAAATGGTGTATGGAGTGTTAAAGATATGATAATAAAACAGGTCTGATATTAAAACTATAGAGGAAGAGCGTCGAGGATGAGAGACGATGATATGATGGAGACGGTGAAACGGTTATAGACGATTATAAAGAACTGCAAAGAGAGAGGTAGGAAGAGAGAGAGAGAGAGAGAGAGAGAGAGAGAGAGAGAGAGAGAGAGAGAGAGAGAGAGAGAGAGAGAGAGAGAGAGAGAGAGAGAGAGAGAGAGAGAGAGAGAGAGAGAGAGAGAGAGAGAGAAAGGGAGAGAGAGAGAATGGGGAGGAGGAGGAGGAGGAGGAGGAGGAGGAGGAGGAGGAGGAGGAGGAGGAGGAGGAGGAGGAGGAGGAGGAGGAGGAGGAGGAGGAGGAGGAGGAGGAGGAGGAGGAGGAGGAGGAGGAGAAGGACGCGATTCCCGGGTCCGGCGGCTGCAGCGGCCGCCGCGTGGTTGCCTGGCTCCGAACTGCACCACAAACAGTCCGTTTCGGCTGAATCATCTCGGCCGCCACTGAGTGTTCACTCCACCGAGAACCGGCCGGCTGCTATTCTCAGAAAACTGGGCGCAGACGATGAGCAGACAACAGGCGGCGCACACTGGTCGGAAACGCTCCAGCGAGAGGCCAGCGGCCTTTCCGCAAAAGTTTTTTGCTTGTGATTCCACAACTAGTGAAGCAAACTTCATAAAACTTTGCATACCTTCTCTGTCATATGTAAGCTATCATTTGGATGTCAAGCACTAAATATATGACATGAATCTGTTAAGTTATGACGTCATAATTGAGTATAATACAGGATCTAGCACCACTTTAAGTCAACAAGGGAAATTGGGAGCTGCTATTCGGGCACCGGGAATGGTTTCATGCACTCCTTGCAAGGTCCAGTGCTTGACTTTAGCATTGTTGACTTTGCGTGACGTCATTTATGACGTCACTAAGGCCATGTAAGTTTTTCGTCAATAACTCCTGATCAGATGGAGCTAGAGAGTCGGGAAAGCCACCATTGGACTCAGGAAGACCTGCCGAATCGAATGATATGCGATATAACCTCCTTCGACCATTTTCGTGACCTGAGGAGCTCCGACCTGACCTTGACCCGAGGTTAACACCTTAACCCTCGCCGGCACAGGGGGGGTTGATGCACCCCCCCCCCCTAAGGTTTTTCGCGAATAACTCACGTAAAAAGCGGCCGATCGCGACGAAACTTTCAGTACCCTCGCATTGATCAATTTTACACGTTCCCTGAAAATTTCATGACCCTGACCCCAATGACCTTTGACCTGTGACCTATTTTCCGTGACCGTGTTTGGCCGAAATCGCGATTCGGCGTATGTCGGCTCGCATTAGCCGCGCGTTTGCAAGCTTTTCGTGGTTTCAAACGTTCGAACATGTGATTTGATGTTGCTCCCATACATTAGGGTGGGTGTCAAGGTCACCTGAAGGTCAGGTCAGGTCATTGACCTTTGGTGACCTCGGGTGACCTCGGTTCACTTTTTCGAGTTTTACATGTTTCTAGGCTAGTTTTTGGAGCGGAATTCGAATTTAGCAACCATTTGAACATTTACGAAGTAGTTTTGCTGTCTTCGTAACATGTTACGAAGCTGTCAGAGGCGGTTGACACGTATTACGAATACCCGTCACAACCCCTACCGGTTGACCTGACCTGACCTGACCCGACCTGGTCTAAATGCTTAAAAACATCATCTCTGATCAAAACTAACACGATATTCGTGATCAGCACCCCGGAAAACCACATAGCAGCCACACTTTACGACTTTCTTACAGGTCCCGATTTTCCCGGTTTTCGGGTCATTGACCTGACCTGGAAGGTCAACCGATGACCTAGGACCTTAAAATTGGGTATCATCGGCTTCGTCTCGTGACGGGCAACACGCTCGTTTTTTCCGCGAAGCTCTAGCTCGATCAGGGGCCAAACGCGAGGGGGAGGGGTCGTACCAACCCCCCCCCCCCTTGTGCCGTCGAAGGACGCAAAATGGCCTGTGCCGACGAGGGTTAAGTTGACTTCACCCGAACACCAAGTATAGCATTCAACGCGCCTGAGCTAGACAAACACGATGATGCCAAAATCGCGGCAGTGCGACCATTTTTGGCAAAGTAATTAACCTAAAACCGAGCCCGTGCCTTGTGGCACTTACCTGACCTAAGAGGTCACTGGCTGACCTAAGACCTTAAAATCGGGTAGTACCTAATTTTTGCGTCTTATAACGGCACACAAGCTTGTTTTTTTCGCGAGGCTCTAGCTCAATTAGAGGCGAAACGGCGAGGGAGTTGTACCAACCCTCCCCGGTCAATGTAGAAAACCAATCGGTCCGGCCAGGGTTAAATACCGGAATTGTGATCTAATGTAAAAAGACGGCCCAAGGTAACCCGACGTCAGTGACAGGTGTCCTATATTTGCAGCGTCTTATATTCACGAAGGTTTCAATTTCCACTTTCTTCAGCCGAGTGATGGTTGTCAATAGCAAGGCTCTCTAAATGCAAGCCGTAATCGCCACGCAATATGTGGAAGGCTTTTGATGTCAATACATACATAAGTGCATACATAGTTAAAACGCGCTTTTCACAAAATTCATAAACTCAAGTGCATCTGTTTTTAATGACCAGTCAACTACGCATGGATGCGTGCAGGCCACACAGGTCAGCGACAGCGTAAGCCGGGCGCGGCGGCCGAGCCGAAACTGGAGCGGGGCGGGCGGTAGTTGGGTAGGAAGAGCGGCTCCTGCAAATTTTGCGCAAATATGCGCAATTAGCTTTTATGTTGCCCTGGTGTAAATTTAAATCCTACTTCATCTCACAAAAAATCAGAGTGGAACTAGATGGGACTACCTGTTGTTTCCTTACCTAAACTTTGCAGTTATATTCCAGAATCACTGTAGGAGAGCCTTCATAAAAAAGCTATAGTACATCTTAGTTAGGGAAAAAGTATGCCAAAAATTTTGCACTGACCAGTCGGCAACTTCATAACGAACATTTTGATGCATAATATGTGGGATTTCAATTTGGTGTCTATCAGCAATAAGACTCTGAATATCCGGCTCACGAAACCTCTTGCTCCGCGTCAGTTTCCGAGTTCTGGGATACCCCATCTTCGGGGGGCTGATTGCAGCTATTTTTGGTCACCCGGATTAGTTTTTTTGGCCTAAGTATAATAATTTGATCAATTTCAAATCGATCTATATAAAAAATAATCCGAAACTCCGGAATCGCCCGTGGCCTCTCGTGAGGGCGTTTCCGACCAGTGTGCGGCGCCGGGCGCGGGTGGGGCACCCGGTGGGTCTCGGCTCGAGCGCGGGTGGGGCTCACGGCGAACCTCGCGCAGGCGGAACCAGCCGTCGCCGAACCCCTCTGCACTCTGAACAGAGAGCGTCAGGTGACCCAACTTCTGATCATTGGCTGAATGTGTAATGGTGCAGACTTGGCGCGCTAGATGGTGAATAATAGATAAAAGGTTTCAAGGAAATTAGCGGAAAACTTTGAAGGTGGAGTAAGTTGGTGGGCGGTCAGCCGATAATGCGTTTGCTTTAGTTATTTAACACGTTGGCTGGTCTCTTCCTGCTTCCTCAAACGAACTTAGTATTATCGGCTAGCTGAAAGAAATATGACAATTGAATAGAGCATGAGTTAATATTTAATCTTCTGGAAAGCATTTTAGCCACAGCCGTTCAAGATTAGCCGCAATTTGTTTTTTTTTTTCAAGCCTAGCAAAATGCCTCTAAAAAGCTTGTCCAAGAATAACAAGAATGGCCTACCCAATAACCAATGATCTGCTAATGCGTTTGCAACATGTCAGATCACCTGAGCCGTTACGGCATAGGCACGGCACGACGGGTACGCGCTGAATGTCGGTGCGACCTCTGTGTCGGTGCTGACAGCCTATTTGTGCACAGTTCACACCTGACAGACCAGTTGACGGCATCAGTAACGACACTGTCGCGCGTCCCCTCCGACAAAAACGCGCATTAACATGGCGACTGGACAAACAGTGAGGCGTGATTGGGTCATCAGTCATTCGACTCGAGTGGAGTGAAAGAAACGTTTGCATCGTCTGAAACAAAATGCGGCGAGCGGATAAGCAGTTCAGGGTGAGAATACCACCATACAGAAAGTTTGTCCCCCTTAACCCGCGCCCTGGTGGGGTCTGTTTATAACGCGACCTGGTGGGGGGGGGGGCTATTTTTTGCCCCCCCTCGTATCTCCGAAACTACTGGACGGATCCGCAAAATTCAAACAGCGTTCGAAAGGCCTGTCAAATTTGTCGAGGGAAACCAAATTTCATTGACCTCCGGGTCACCGATGACGTCACAGGTCAGGTCAAAGATGAAATGTTTCACCGTTCACGGGTCATCTAGGGAATGCGCTATAACACCGAAGAAAACGCATTTTGTCGAGAATCAGCGATAGGGCGTCAGTTGCCTAGTACATATATTGCTATAAGAGGTCACTGACATTACCAGGTCACAGGTCAGGTCACCAAGGGTCACAGGTCAGGTCACATGAACCTAACTTTAGGTACTAAGGTTGTGCGATGCATGTTTTATGGCCAATTTTTCATTTCCAACTCAATGGTGTTGGTTATAAGACTATCAGGTACGGCTTAGGCCACTTTCTGGTGGAGGTCAGGTCAAGGTCAGGTCAAAAAAGGTCAAATTTCAAAGTTGATATTTTTGCATAAAATGGGTATTGATTCGATGCAGCTCGTCACGGGGAGTCTAATGGTGGTCTTTGTTTTGCGCTACGAGGTCTAGAATTGCAAAAAATTGAGTTTGAAAATTTGACGTCATCAATTTTGAACAGTTTTTTCGCTGTAACTTGGCCAAAAAAAGAGGTATCGATCTCAAATTTGGTATGTAGATAGAAGGCGGTAAGTACTATCACATATATTCCGGTTTTTTCGAAATTCAAAAAACTTTTTGGATTTTTCGGCTATTATGATCAAAAAATCTATTTTTTGATTTTTGGGGGTCAAAATCCAAAAATTTCAAAAATCCGAGATAGCAGTTTTGTAGCCCTGTCAATTCTACAGCTTTTATATGTCTTTATCGTTTTTCTGTATTTGCAAAGCTATAGGCCTGACAGCTCTGCCCGCGAAACCCTTTTTTGGGTCGAAAACGGCAGAACATGACGTCACTCTGACGTCATTTCCGGCCAACCTATCATAGCCTTTGGATAAATTTTTGGTCACAATGTGTAAAATTGATGTCCGGGAGGGTACTGAAAGTTTGGTGACGATCGGCGCAGCGGTTCTGGAGATATATCGAAAAGTCTGGAGGGGGGGGCAAAAAATAGCCCCCCCCCCACCAGGGCGCGGGTTAAATCCTTTCCGCGGCTCAATGATCATCAGTCATAGATTCTGGAGTAATGGCTTCAAGATAGCGGATGCAATGATTTAGTTTCAGCTTCTGACGCTAGATGGCAGTGCAAGAACGCCTGCATGTATGCTGTGCCGCAAGGCCTACCTGACGCCTATCTGACCAGTGGCCACGCGTGCATACACGCAGCCTATATCTATGATGTATCTTCCACATCTCGAGCCGCTAGGAAATTGAACCCAGCCAACAACTTGTGCATGCCTTCGTTGGTTAGTGCACCTGTTGGTGAGCTACCCACCTCTGTTGTGGCCGAACTCGAAGGTGTTGTTACCCACCTCTGTTGTGGCGGAAGGTGTGGTTACCCACCTCTGTTGTGGCGGAAGGTGCTGTTACCCGTTGTGGCGGAGGAAGGCGCTGTTACCCACCTCTGTTGTGGCGGAAGGTGTTGTTACCCACCTCTGTTGTGGCGGAAGGCGTTGTTACCCACCTCTATTGTGGCGGAAGGTGTTGTTACCCACCTCTGTTGTGGCGGAAGGTGCTGTTATCCGTTGTGGCGGAGGAAGGCGCTGTTACCCACCTCTGTTGTCGCGGAAGGTGTTGTTACCCACCTCTGTTGTGGCGGAAGGTGTTGTTACCCACCTCTGTTGTGGCGGAAGGTGCTGTTACCCACCTCTGTTGTGGCGGAAGGTGTTGTTACCCACCTCTGTTGTGGCGGAAGGTGCTGTTACCCACCTCTGTTGTGGCGGAAGGTGCGGTTACCCACCTCTGTTGTGGCGGAAGGCGTCGTTACCCACCTCTGTTGTGGCGGAAGGTGCGCGGCAGGCTGGGCGCGCTGCGCTGCGACACCGAGGCCACCTCCATCACCTCCTGGATGTGCAGCATGTCCTCGAGCTGCTCGCGGCGGCTGTCGCGGCCCGCCTCCCTGAAGTCGCGCCTCCCCAGAGAGGCTGTTGAGCAGCTGTACATGTTGGCCACGCCGCTGGACGTGGATGCGTACATCCGGTCTGCCGGGTAGACAGAGTGTGGTTGGACTCTCTATTCCCTCTCTCTTTCTCTCTCCCTCTCAAACCCTCACTTTCTTTCTCACTCTCTTCTCACTCATTCACTTTCCCTCCTTCCCTCTCTCCTCTTTGTCCTTCCTTCCTCTATCCCCCTTCCCTCGAGAAATGCAAAAATAATCATGACAATTTAAGTGGTCGATTACGGGGTATAAAGCCAATAAGCAGTACCGGTGTGGTCTCGTGGTTTATTTGTCAGTTCGGTACTCGATACGTGGAGTGCGGACTGCGGTCTAGTCGCTGGAACCGGTTTATCTTCAGCACTGGAGTATTTGCTCTCGGAAAACATCCTGTTCGGAGACCTTGCATCGTCTATGCTTCACTTCCACAATTACGTCAGTATGCAGAACATGCGGAAGACATTTATCAGATGTCAATAACTGTGCGATCAGTGGATTTTGTGAGCCCGGGATGAGCTTCTTACAGCTCTGGCGATTGCTATTCTTGAGAGCGTGGATCTTAAACGTCTGCCGCACATTGAAGTCGCCCTTGTAAAGGCGGAAATAGAAGCGGCTCCGAGCGACCCTGATTCACTGACCTCTCTTGGCCTCGCTGCGCTTCTTGTAGCCCGCGCAGCAGCTGCAGTAGAAGCAGGAGATGATGATGACCAAGACGAGGGTGATGAGGGCTCCCGCTGCCACGCCCAGCACCAGAGGCAGGCTGCGGAACACAGACAGATAAAATTGTAATTTGTAGTGACGGCTATTTGCTAATGGTCCTAAATACGCAGGTAAATAATTATTTACCTTTGGGTTGAATTATAAAGCACGCGGGCGACATTTGGCCAACACAACGACTTTTCTAGAGTTAAATCGTGTTCACATGTCGCGTGGGGTTTCTCCTCTCCTTAACCCATCTCTGACGTCAGCAATGTGAGACGAAACCGACGCAGACACCGACCGCGCCACGCCAATAACAACAGTCGGCACGCCGCACGCGCTCTATTCCTCGCTCAGTAATTGCCGCAGAAAAACTCCCGACAGTTGGGTAATCGTATCAATCAGAGCGGTCCGCGCGTGGTGTTCTGCTGCAGAGTTTGGTGTGCCGGGGCTGCTGGGCGGTCGCTAGGGTTGTTCTGGGTTGGAGGGCGGGGGCAAGGAGGATGACGCATGAGGTTGGGGTAGACGATGGTGATCTATCTGGTGCCAACTCAGGCGCCGGTCACCCTAATAGAGGCCAGTGGTCGAAGAGAAGCCACACTGGTGCCATTGCACGTTGGCACGGGGGGACGAGTTTCAGTGGACAAAATGATGTGACTACAATCATTACACTGACCAAAATGCTGGCGTATCACATTACTGTTTTACATCATTTTGGGCAGCTAAAAAAGACACTACCTATGTCGCATGCATGTTTCAAATCCATACTGTACCAACAATATCCAGAAGCGTTTTGTAAAACATCCAGCAATTAGCAGGCCCAATTACGCCGTTTAATGTCCTGACCGTTAGCGAATGATTGAAGCAGATAGCGATGTTAACAAGGCTTTATCCTGTCCCGTCAGGCTTAGTGTGCGGATAACATCGAGCTTTGTTTGCGATGGCTTTGATCTCATTAGCATTACCGCATTGTGCTTTAGCGGGCGAAATTACTCGTACACGTAAGGTGTTTTATATTTGTGCCATTATTTACATAGTTTTGTGGTAAGTCGTGAGATATACAATACATCATACATTCTCTGTTGTTAAAACTGGATCTTATTTGGCAATACCTTAATAAACATGTTGTTTTAGCACTAATGGAGATTTCAGTTTTTGCCAGCTACCATGTCCTGATTTGGATATAAAACAATATCAGGGATTCCTGACGCGTCGATTGCAAGGTCATTAGTAGATTCAAGAATCTATCTTACTATTTGAACAGGATCCATCTGTCTGTCTGTCTGTTTGTCCGCCACGCCGTGTAGTGGGTTCAATTTAGCCGGCCTACAGGGCAGACGGTATATCGTAGGGGGTTGAAATTTGCACACCTTATAGGTGACAGAGCGGGTCAGTGCCTTTTCTAGGTTTCCACTCGCTGGGGTGCACGGTTCGCGCGTGGGGCGCGCTGGAAGAACGCCAATGAAATTTTGATCGGTTCGTAGATCTTCATTGAGAGCCGGGGTCGACAAACTTACTGAGCTAAATGCATGCCGATCGGCGGCGGGTGCCTCGCATTGAAGGATGGTGAAATTATTGATTTTGATAAATGGTGGCGAAAAAATGTGTTGATTGTTGCTAAATGGGTACAGTTTGTGATAAGATTGTACAAATGAATCGCGTTTGCCGCAATGCGTCACATTGGTCACAGGGCGTCATTTTTGCCGCAAATCGCACAGTTTTGTCAAATATGGTCCGATAAGGGTACAATTTGTTGCCAGGATACATGCTCAGCCAACAGGTTCAGATGCGCCGCGTTTGTCGCAATGCGCCACATATGCCACAAAGCGCCATTTCCGACAAATACGATTAAGCGTAATGGAATGGCACGAATAGGGGCAGGGCTGGGAACACTTTAAGTATGGTTTTAATACTTATTGGATCCAATTGGTCTGTGACCTGACATGACCCAGCGGTATTGGTTGGGGTAGGGGTAGGGGTAGAGGTAGGGGTAGGGTAGTGGTAGGGTAGGGGTAGGGGTAGTGGTAGGAGTAGTAGTAGGGGTAGGGGTAGTGGTAGGGGTAGTAGTAGGGGTAGGGGTAGGGGTAGTGGTAGGGGTAGTGGTAGGGGTAGTGGTAGGGGTAGTGGTATGGGTAGTGGTATGGGTAGTGGTAGGGGTAGTAGTAGGGGTAGGGGTAGTAGTAGGGGTAGGGGTAGGGTAGTGGTAGGGGTAGTGGTAGGGGTAGGGGTAGGGGTAGTGGTAGGAGTAGTAGTAGGGGTAGGGGTAGTGGTAGGGGTAGTAGTAGGGGTAGGGGTAGGGTAGGGGTAGGGGTAGTGGTAGGAGTAGTGGTAGGGGTAGTGGTAGTGGTAGGGGTAGTAGTGGGGTAGGGGTAGGGGTAGTAGTAAGGGTAGTGGTAGGGGTAGTGGTAGGGGTAGGGGTAGTGGTGGAGGCAAAAGTAGAACAGGGGTCCGGGCTGATCCCATCAGACGAGAGGTGACCTATGTGACCTAGCCTGACCCAGAGTGACCAGGGCTGACCCCTATGACCCGTCTTGACCCCGTATCACCCAACTTTCATCCAACGAAGTCCTCAGAGCAGTATTTTTTAAATTCTCTTCACATTTCCGTCCATATCTATGCTTCTAGACGTCACATCGACATGAATCAAACACCATTCGAAAGCAAATTGGCTGATGCCGCAATTTTTTCCTACCACGCAGCAAAGCAAGTGGCGCAGCCGCTTGTCTATATTACTATTTGAACAGGATCCGTCTGTTTGTCTGTCTGTCCGCCACGCCGTGTAGTGGGTTCAATTTAGCCGGCCTACAGGGCAGACGGTACGACGCAGGGGGTTGAAATTTGCACACCTTCTAGGTGACAGAGCGGGTCAGCGCCTTTTCTAGGTTTCGACTCACTGGGGTGCACGGTTCGCGCGTGGGGCGCGCTGGAAGACCGCCAATGAAATTTTGATCGGTTCGTAGATCTTCATTGAGAGCCGGGGTCGACAAACTTTGCGGACTAAATGCATGCCGATCGGTGGCGGGTGCCTCGCATTGGCGGATGGGCAAGTTTTTTAATTTGAATAAAAAGTGGCGAGAAAATGTGTTAATTGTCGCTAAATGGGTATAGTTTGTGATACGAGTTTACAAATGCACCGCGTTTGTCGCAATGCGTCACATTTGTCCCAAGGCTCCATCTTCGTCGCAAATCGCACAGTTTTGTCAAATATAGTCCGATATGGGTGCAATTTGGTGCCAAGATGCATGGTCAATGGCCGAGTGAAAATGCGCCGCGTTTATCGCAATGCGCCACATATGCCACAAAGCGCCATTTCCGACAAATACGATTAAGCGTAATGGAATGGCACGAATAGGGGCAGGGCTGGGAACACTTTAAGTTTGACATTTTAGTACTGATTGGATCCAATTATTCTGTGAATTGACATGACCCAGCGGTGTTGGTAGGGGTAGGGGTAGGGGTAGTGGTAGGGGTAGTGGTAGGGGTAGTGGTAGGGGTAGTGGTAGGGTTAGTGGTAGGGGTAGGGTAGTGTTAGGGGTAGGGGTAGGGGTAGTGGTAGGAGTAGGGGACTGGTAGGGATAGTAGTAGTGGTAGGGGTAGTAGTAGGGGTAGTAGTAGGGGTAGTGGTAGGGGTAGGAGTATGGGTAGTAGTAGTGGTAGGGGTAGGAGTATGGGTAGCAGTAGTGGTAGGGGTAGATGTAGTGGTAGGGGTAGAGGTAGGGGTAGTGGTAGTGGTAGGGGTAGGGGTAGTGGTAGGGGTAGGGGTAGTGGTAGGGGTAGGGGTAGTGGTAGGGGTAGGGGTAGTGGTAGGGGTAGTGGTAGGGGTAGTGGTGGAGGCAAAAGCAGAACAGTGGCCCGGACTGATCCCAGCGGACGAGAGGTGACCTATGTGACCTGGCCTGACCCAAAGTGACCGGGGCTGACCCCTTGACCCGTCTTGACCCCGTATCAGCCAAATTTCATCCAACAAAGCCCTCAGAATAGTTCTTTTTTAAATCTCTTCACATTTCCGTCCATATATATACTTCTAGACGACACATCGATTTGAATCGAACACCATTCGAAAGCAAATTTGATGGTGCCGCACCTTTTTCCTACCACGCAGCAAAGCAAGTGGCGCAGCCGCTTGTCTATACTACTATTTGAACAGGATCCATCTGTTTGTTTGTTTGTCTGTCCGCCACGCCGTGTAGTGGGTTCAATTTAGCCGGCCTACAGGGCAGACGGTATATCGTAGGGGGTTGAAATTTGCACACCTTCTAGGTGACAGAGCGGGTCAGCGCCTTTTCTAGGTTTCGGCTCGCTGGGGTGCACGGTTCGCGCGTGGGGCGCGCCGGAAGAACGCCAATGAAATTTTGATCGGTTCGTAGATCTTAATTGAGAGCCGGGGTCGACAAACTTTGTGGACTAAATGCATGCCGATCGGCGGCGAGTGCCTCGCATTGGCGGATCGGCAAGTTATTAATTTGAATGAAAAGTGGCGAGAGAACGTGTTGATTCTCATTCAATGGAAACAGTTTGTGATACGAGTATACAAATGCACCGTGTTTGCCGCAATGCGCCACTTTGGTGACAAGGCGCCATTTTTGCCGCAAATCGCATAGTTTCGTCAAATATGACCCGATAAGGGTGCAATTTGGTGCAAGATACGTGCTCAAACGAAAAGTATAGATGCGCCGCGTTTGTCGCAATGCGCCACATATGCCACAAAGCGCCATTTCCGACAAATACGATTAAGGGTAATGGAATTGCACGAATAGGGGCAGGGCTGGGAACACTTTAAGTCTGATATTTTAGTACTGATTGGATCCAATTATTCTGTGACCTGACATGACCCGGCGGTGTTGGTAGGGGTAGGTGTAGGGGTAGGGGTAGTGGTAGGGGTAGGGTAGGGGTAGGGGTAGGGGTAGTGGTAGGGGTAGTAGTAGGGGTAGGGGTAGTGGTAGGGGTAGTAGTAGTGGTAGGGGTAGTAGTAGGGGTAGTGGTAGGATAGTGGTAGGGGTAGGAGTATGGGTAGTAGTAGTGGTAGGGGTAGGGGTAGATTTAGTGGTAGGGGTAAGGGTA